CTTTGTAAAACAAGCTCAACCCTTGCTTCTTATCAATATTCCCCATTAAGAATCCATTCATTCTTTGTAAAACAAGCTCAACCCTTGCTTCTCATAAATATTCCTCATTAAGAATCCATTCATTCTTTGTCAAAAAAGCTTTGGTTTTTCGGCAGCTCCGTCCTTAATATACACGCTAAAATGATGGTCTCTTTCTTTACCCTTCGATAGCTCAGTTGGTAGAGCGGAGGACTGTAGGCTGATGTTCAATCTGCAATTAGCAGGTATCCTTAGGTCGCTGGTTCAACTCCGGCTTGAAGGACATTTTTATAATGTTGTCCGGTTTGGGTCAACAGGTATTTCCTGATCGCAAACCCTTGCTTCTTGTCAATATTCCTCATGACAAATCCATCCATTCTTTGTAAAACAAGCTCAACCCTTGCTTCTCATCAATATTCCTCATAACAAATCCATCCATCCTTTGTAAAAAAAGCTCAACCCTTGCTTCTCATCAATATTCCTCATTAAGAATCCATTCATTCTTTGTCAAAAAAGCTTTGGTTTATCGGCAGCTCCGTCCTCAATGTACACGCTAAAATGCAGGTCTCTTTCTTTACCCTTCGATAGCTCAGTTGGTAGAGCGGAGGACTGTAGGCTGATGTTCAATCTGCATTTAGCAGGTATCCTTAGGTCGCTGGTTCAACTCCCGCTCGAAGGACATTTTTATAATGTTGTCCGGTTTGGGTCAACAGGTATTTCCTGATCGCAAACCCTTGCTTCTTGTCAATATTCCTAATAACAAATCCATCCATCCTTGGTAAAACAAGCTCAACCCTTGCTTCTCATCAATATTCCTCATTAAGAATCCATTCATTCTTTGTAAAACAAGCTCAACCCTTGCTTCTCATCAATATTCCTCATTAAGAATCCATTCATTCTTTGTCAAAAAAGCTTTGGTTTATCGGCAGCTCCGTCCTCAATATACACGCTAAAATGCAGGTCTCTTTCTTTACCCTTCGATAGCTCAGTTGGTAGAGCGGAGGACTGTAGGCTGATGTTCACTGTGCAATTAGCAGGTATCCTTAGGTCGCTGGTTCAACTCCGGCTCGAAGGACATTTTTATATTGTTGTCCGGTTTGGGTCAACAGGTATTTCCTGATCGCAAACCCTTGCTTCTTGTCAATATTCCTCATGACAAATCCATCCATTCTTTGTAAAACAAGCCCAACCCTTACTTCTCATCAATATTCCTCATAACAAATCCATCCATCCTTTGTAAAACAAGCTCAACCCTTGCTTCTCATCAATATTCCTCATTAAGAATCCATTCATTCTTTGTCAAAAAAGCTTTGGTTTATCGGCAGCTCCGTCCTCAATATACACGCTAATATGCAAGTCTCTTTCTTTACCCTTCGATAGCTCAGTTGGTAGAGCGGAGGACTGTAGGCTGATGTTCAATCTGCAATTAGCAGGTATCCTTAGGTCGCTGGTTCAACTCCGGCTCGAAGGACATTTTTATAATGTTGTCCGGTTTGGGTCAACAGGTATTTCCTGATCGCAAACCCTTGCTTCTTGTCAATATTCCTCATGACAAATCCATTCATTATTTGTAAAACAAGCTCAACCCTTGCTTCTCATCAATATTCCTCATAACAAATCCATCCATCCTTTGTAAAACAAGCTCAACCCTTGCTTCTCATCAATATTCCCCATTAAGAATCCATTCATTCTTTGTAAAACAAGCTCAACCCTTGCTTCTCATAAATATTCCTCATTAAGAATCCATTCATTCTTTGTCAAAAAAGCTTTGGTTTATCGGCAGCTCCGTCCTCAATATACACGCTAAAATGATGGTCTCTTTCTTTACCCTTCGATAGCTCAGTTGGTAGAGCGGAGGACTGTAGGCTGATGTGTTGTCAAAACCCAAAATGTTGTCCGTTTTGGGTCACCAGGTATTCCCTTATCGCCAACCCTTTTTTCTAATCAGTATTCCTCATAAAAAATCCATCCATCCTTTGTAAAACAAGCCCAACCCTTGCTTCTCATCAATAATCCTCATAACAAATCCATCCATTCTTTGTCAAACAAGCTTTGATTTATCGTCAGCTCCATCCTCAATATACACGCTAAAATGCAGGTCTCGTTCTTTACCCTTCGATAGCTCAGTTGGTAGAGCAGAGGACTGTATGCTGATATTCAATGTGCAATTAGCAGGTATTCTTAGGTCGCTGGTTCATCTCTGGCTTGAAGGACATTTTTATAATGTTGTCCGTTTTGGGTTACTAGGTATTTCCTGATTGCCAACCCTTGCTAACAAATCCATCCATCCTTTGTAAAACAAGCTTTGGTTTATCGTCAGCTCCATCCTCAATATACACGCTAAAAACCAGATCACGTTCTTTACCCTTCGATAGCTCAGTTGGTAGAGCTCAGTCCCTCTTCTCCTACTTACAAAGCTGGTAATCACCTTGACTACATCTTCACTAGAAACTGCTCTACTCCACAGAGTTACCTCCACAGACGTCTCTGACCACTTCTTCATCTCTTACTCTCTCCCACTCTCTGTAACTAACGACCCTGCCCCATCAACTGACCCTGTACCTGTTTGTCGCAACATTCGCTCCCTCTCTCCTTCCTCTCTGGCTTCCTCTGTTCTATCAGCTCTCCCTTTAATTGTCTCCTTCTCACTCCTGCATCTGAACGTTGCCACAGAGACTCTCCTCTCAACTCTTTCCTTCTCTCTCGACTCTCACTGCCCTCTTACTACACAACAGGCTTTTAAATCCCCTCCGGCTCCGTGGCTGCCTCAACCGGTGCGTGCCGTGAGAGCCACAATGCGAGCATCGGAAAGGAGATGGCGTAAATATACAACAACCTGCTGACCTGCTTGCATTTCAATCTCTCATTTTTCTGCTTCTATCTCTGCTGCCAAAAGCTCCACTACCAATCTTCTACCAATGCAGAATTGAATCTTCATCTCCTTCTATCTCCACCGACAGGTTCCAACAACCTCCTTGATCCCCACCAGTCAGGCTTCAAGGCAGGCCATTCCACAGAGACTGCTCTCCTTGCTGTCTCAGAAACTCCACACTGCTTGAGCAGCTTCTCTTTCTCCCCTGTCCTCATCCTTCTGGACCTCTCTGCTGCATTTGACACAGTCAACCACCAGATCCTTATTTCCTCCCTTCAGGAACTTGGTGTCTCAGGCTCTGCTCTCTCCCTTCTCTCGTCCTACCTTGACGGCCGCACCTACCGGGTAACCTGGCGAGGATCTGTGTTGAACCGTGTCCTCATACTACTGGAGTTCCTCAGGGTTCCGTCCTGAGTCCCCTGCACTTCTCGCTCTACTCCTACCACAGCTATGCCGATGACACCTAACTAATTCTCTCCTTCCCTCACTCGGACACCCAGGTGGCGGCACGAATCTTTGCCTTTCGGACATCTCTCAGTGGATGTCCGCTCACAATCTGAAAATCAACCCCGACAAGACTGAACTACATCTTTTCCTGGGAAAAGACTCTCCTACCCAGGAATTGACCAGAACTGGCAACTCCGTGTTAACGCCCACTGTGACTGCTAGAAACCTCAGAGTGACACTTGACAGTCAACTCTCCCTGAATGGCACTTATCTATAGCAAATTGGCTTATTTGATTTGAACTTTCTTGATTCTTTCTCTTTTGTAAGGACCTTTGTTGTTTGTATCCCTATGGTTGAAATCCCTATGTTTATTGTCCCTGTTGTGTTTAATAAATATATCTAATTCACTAATGTTTACATCAATTAGTGAATCGTTGTAGTGATTAGTTAAACAAACAAATCAAGTACTTTTGTCTCACTAAAATAGTAATTACCAGTAGTGGGGTAAACATTTCTTTATTTGCAAACAGCACTAGATCATTCACGTGTCTCTTTGCCCTGTGTGCAGGAGAACAATTCAGTGCAATGTGCTTTAAAACGCACAGCGACAATAGCTTTAAATTATGTTGGACAATTATAAAATTCATGTTCTTTCATCTTTAATAAGGCCCATTCAAATATTTCCATTCAGAAGTTGTATAATCCTTAAATTCATGAACAAAGCAGGAAATATAGAAAACTTGTATGTACAGAAACACAAATGAACGCAACTCCTCAAGTTCCGTTTTTAATAAACTAGTTTTTTTAATGTTTCTGTTTAGCATTCCTGTTTCCTAAGTAGTTCAAGTAGTTTACACAACAGTGATATGATGCCATATCACCCAGTTATCTGGAAGTTTGCTTTCCAACATGTTGGCCTGTGATCACATCCAAATATAAATTCATTTTTGACCACTAAACAAGCTGTTCATTTTCTTTCATTGTAATATTTGTAGAGACCAGAATAAGTTAAATGATCCAGCAATTCACAAGAAAATGAAGAAAGATAAGATGGACATGTAAAGAGAGACAATATTTTAAGTAGGTTGAAAATCATCTTCTACGTGCTGTCCTTTTCAATCACTTTGCAATACCTCAAATTTATCTTGTGACCCCATCAGTGGAAGGAACGAAAAACAAAGGCAGACACACTCATTTCCATTTTGATAATGGTTTGCCTACTCAACTACCATTTAAATTATCAGTGGTCGTCCAGTCCTTGACAGTCCAGTCCTTGACAGTTACTTTTACCATTTAAATGATTAAAACGAAAATACTGATTTACCATTGTAGTTTTTTTAAAACCAAAAATGCCAATGGCTGGCCGATATAGATGAATACAAAAGACAGACAATACAACAATAGAAAAATAAAAGGTCTACACAGATCCTCCAAAGTGAGTATTTTAAGTATTAAAAATCAATAAATTGTGTAAATACGTGAATGACATGAATTAACACTTTGCAAAAACAGTAAAGACCCAATGCAATGCACCTATTTTGGAATGTTATTTCACTATTTATTGATATCATATTTATTTAATAAATTAAGTATATATATATATATAGACTTTTGAATTCTGGCATGAATATTTCTAATAGGACATGCTCATACATATCTATATATGTTATAATGTACAGAGAGTTGCAGGAATGAGTCCTAAGACCTGGACATCAATCAGCGTTTTTGTACTTTTGATCATAACACAAACAAAAAAGCCCTCTGGTCAGCCCTTCCGAAACAACTTCACACAGCAGAGTTTCACCATCAGTGACTGCTGTAAGAAGGCGACACTTTGCTACTATAATATATCAGCTGCAGCAAAGGTTTTTGGGTGAGTTCAGGAAACTTATCCCTCCTTCCATCACTTCATGTAGCGTTAAGGAGGAACTTTGAGAAACATTGCATTACATTATAGTGAGATAAACAATGTCATAATGTGCTGAAAAGCCTTTAGTGTACAAAGCAACGGGACTATATGAGTAGTGTTTTCCCTAACCCTAAAACAATATATCTGGGAACTGAATTCAGTAAATGCAATGTGTGCCTACGTAAACAGGTTATTGCGCCTATTAAAGGTTACAAAGCATCGCTTTTTGATGGGCTCAGTTCAGCGTAGACTTTTCTCTAGCACTTTGCAAGTAGGTCTGACTATGCATGAAAACACGGCTGCAGTCACTCACTGGTGATCACATTGCAGAGCACATCTTGGGAGAGGCGGTCTCTGCGTTTGCCTTTTGCCGTATGCACTCTGGGTGATTGAGAAACAAACAAGGGCACATCATTCCAGATCGAAATAGACGAGCATAGACGAAATCGCATAGGCAAAAGTGCCGGGTCCAGCGAAATATTGCAAGGGAACAATTTCATATAAAAAAAAAAAAAACAGCCATTGTGCGACTCTTGTACAGCAACACAAACCGGTTTCATGTGCTCACCTGCCAAGTCTGTCCGTGAGATCTTCACCAGCCCCTCGTACAGGCCTTTGACCGGGTTCTCCCCCGCCATCCCAACTCCGTGGAGCCAAATTAGCAGCATCCGGTGGCCGTGCTCTTTGAAGCTCTTCGTGCCTAGAGGTTCGGTTTAGAATCATAGCTCAATATCATTGTAAAGTTTTGTTTAAGATGGGTGAGAATCCACTTGTAACCCAAAACAAGTATTAAGAGAGTGAGATTTAACAGTAAGCAAAACCCATATAAATCTATCATTTTGATTAACAAAGTGGTGCAGTGAGAAGAACACGTAGAAACCCTCTCATGCAACTACTTTTAACCAACTCAGTGCCATCTAACAAATTGCCACTTGCACCTGAGCCGTCTACTTGGTGAACAGTTCGTAGTGGCTTCAAGAGGTGGCCGCAGCTCACCGGTCCACTGTTGTTCAATAGCTCGTATATGTGCAGGGCTGAAGTCCCAGTGCTGTGCCAGGATCTTCCACTCCCCGCGGCACAGGTGCTTGGTGGCCAGGCTCCACAGGACAGACCGGAGGTGCTGTGTCTCTGGCTGGTGGTCCTGCTTGAAGCTTAGCGGTCTCCCCACCCAGGAGTCCTGCTCGCTGCTCATCTGATCCTAATGGTGTTTATTAAAATGGTTAAAATGAGATAGAACTTTATTAATCTGAAGGAGATTCTTGTGCCAAGATGTTATCAAAGATTACAGAATAGAGAAGAAAGAGCAAAACACAATAGAATGAAAGCGATAAATAAGGTAAAAAATGAAGGGGAAAAAAGTGTATAAGAAGCAACACTAACGCCAGTTCCCAATTAAAAGTAAAATATTGTATTAAGCATGATGTGTGTGCCAAACAGGGCGAAAAAATCAGTTTAATGAGACTTAAGACGTCATTATTACATACCAAAGAACTTCCATTCTTAGAAGAGAAAGTATTTTAAATTTAGTTCAAATACTTTTTTTTCATGTGATTCTGTAGAGACACTAATGTTTGATGAACTCACCTTCTCCCATTTATAAAAACGGTCAGCTTTGATGATCATGTCAACCAGGAGGACGTGGTTTCCTCTGGCTGCCACCTCCAAACACCTTTTCCCCTGCTGAGTTCATAATATGGTCATTCGGTAAGATGACACAGAACGGAATTAATTAAAACACTCATTGTCACTCATGTAAAAGATAATTTGATAGTGACAGTGAATATAAACACATTAACACTGCTGTATTTTAACCAAATACACTTACATACTAGATATTAGTGCAATTACTCTCGCAGCGTCCTGAGATTTACATTAAGTGAGATGAAGAGTAATTTTCTCATAGACTTTCAATACAATTGTAGTGGCTTCACTCGCCAGAGGCTGCCGCCTGAGCTGCACATTAAATTCCATATTTAAATTCTATCCTACTACACCAAAACCCACAATTATATTAAGTAACGAACTTCAGTCCTGATCATCGTTGACATATATGCATTCATTTTCAGAATTTGAACACCTAAAATCACAGTTAATTATGCCACTGTTCATCAGAATTATTTTTTTCCCAGTGAGATGTGATGTCAACGGTAAGCAAAAGCAGAATTATTACCGATGCACTGCATTGCTCCATTAGAAGCATCTCGTGGAAACCAGTGAAAAACATAACCTGGCTAACGTCAGCAAATGATGACACTTGAGGAGCTGTATTGTTACAGAGGTTGCGTGCTGTGTGGTACCTTGTCAGTCAGATTGAGGTTAACACCGGAGACCAGCATCATCTCAGCCGAGTCCTGCCAGCCGTGCTCTGCTGCGATGTGCAAAACCGTCTGTTGTCTCTGCGAACCACATGAATCTGATATTGTTGCACCGTGGCCGCTGTGTCATTTCTAAAATGTGCATTCCAGTCAGCTGCCTGGATGTTTATCAGCGTGTACTCACACTGTCAGCGATGTCCAGGTCACAGTGGGCGTCTATGAGCAGCCGTAAAAACGCAGCGTGGTTGTTGAACACAGCTAAGTGGAGGGCTGTGTTTTGTTGCTGTTTACAAAGAAAGATGAAAAAGAAAGAAAGATGATTTTACATGACGTGTAAATGATCCTGATAATAATCCTTTTCGGTTTAGTTTATTAGAAAGATGTAAGAACGCTCTCTCTTACATTTACTGAATTGCAGCAGCCGTACAAGAGGGGACATTAAACAGACTTTCTTTACTCTACCAGGGTGTAAACACATTTATTTATTCGGACAGCCTCAAGTAGTCATTTGAAGAACTCCAATTTTACGGCACTTACGCATTTGTTTGTTTGATTTTTTTTAGCACCAGCAGCTCGCATTTTCTACATAACACGACACATACGTCACATGGGAGCAGCCATTACCTACATCATCTACAGCATCCTTGTCGATTCCTGCCTCCAGCAGCAAACTGGCCTCCCTGTTAAAGCCATGCTGAGCTACGTAGTGGAGAGCATTCATATTCTTCTGCAGGCACAAGAAAACACAGATTTAATCTTGCGGTCTTTCATTGTTTCGCTTTCAGAAAAAAGTACAATTTTAGATGTTGTTTTTATTGAAGGGAATGTATTGCACTGAATGAACCAAACCATACATTAGTCTGCGCATTGGCATCGCAGCCGACCTCCAGCAGCAGTTTGACACACTCGTAGTGACCTCCATCAGCTGCCAGGTGCAATGCTGTGAGACCGCCCTAAAAGCACAGCGGGGACATTGGTGACAGTGTGGCTTTGCTCTGCTTGTGACTTGGTGTTTTGTTTTGTATATATATTTATTTTGTACCACCATTTCATGTTTTTGTTACACATAACTCTCTTTAGCCACATGTAGAAAAAAAAACATTGAATGAGAACTTTTGACTTACGCACTTAAAGGGTGAAATTCTTCAAATGACTTAAACAGTGTTAGTTGTTAAACTAAAGATGCTTGAATAAAAATTGAATGCTTAAATTTAACTTGGTGGAAAGAGAAAATAATTTTGCGCAGATATTTTGAGGGCAGGTTTTTTACAGAGACATTTTTGTTCCCTAAACTTCACAGCAACATTCTTTTTTTTTTTTTTAAGGTACAATGATTTCTGTCTTTACTGTCTCTGACCAGCAGATATCTGAAGACATTTCCTTTTGGGTTAGATTTCAAAGATTGGAGACTATTATCACATTGATGTGCTAAAAGCTTAAACGTCACACTTACAACATATGGATCAAACTGTGCATTGTACAGCAGCCACTCAAGTATTCTTGCATTCTTCACCAGGACAAACCTTTGTTTTTTAGAATGATTGTTTTCTCCAAAAATAGATTTTCACTAATATTTTATCTGATAGTGCAAGAAAACACTGTTGACTGCATCTAACAGTAAAACAGGTAACACTTAATACTTAATGACAACTACAACTGCAAACAAAAGCATCTATGCCCCACAGCCACCCTAAATAAATACCACGAATTGGGCCTTGAATCCTAAAGCTCAGTCCAGCCGACTCACTATGTTTCTCTCGTCGACATCGACTCCGGTCTCCACCATCTTCTGCAGGACTTCTGTGTGCCCACACTTTGCTGCTAGATGCACGGCCGTGTTGGCTTCCTGTAGTCCAGACAAAACATCCCACGTCTGACAACACAACTTCCTGTACAGCGCGAAATATCAAAACATGTCAAGAGGGGCCGTTAACAACTTGCTGGTGTTGTGTCATTAGGCAGAAAAAGGGGAATCACGCAGTTTCTTAAGAGGCCGACCTCATTGGGTGTCGGCTTGTGGTGAAACTGGCACTTAAACGGGCGATTCCCGACCTTTGGTGAAGGAAGCCGTTCATTTACGTAACATGCTCAGGCACAATGTGTGCACCTTGTATTGGGGGCATGAAGAAGTTTGAACTCTCCTGGAAGACAACATTAAATGCTTTTATCCATATAGAGCAATGGTGCACTTCTGCCTCTTGTGGCCCAACATGAGTATTACAACAACTATCGCAACAAAACAAAAATCCTGACAACATTTTTTTTCTCCAGTTCTTAAGTCATAAAACCAAGGAGAGAACACTATTATAAACTATACACAGATCACTGGATTTTGTTTTTCCTTAGGTCAAGATCCATTTCTTTCATGTTACATAAACAAAGTGGAACAATATTGTTATTTATTTATTTATTTATTGTTGAACCATCTGGAGAAGAAATATGTTAGTATGTGTATTACAGAAAATAACTAAAAAAAACTAACGTTGATGGGATGTTTGTGGGTAACACAACACATGGTAACCGCCGGCCAACGTACATTTCCCTGCCCAGTGTAAACAGGACTTGAGGTCCGAACACATCCTGCTTTCACCTGTTTGGTTGTTTAAAGGTGGGTTTAACAGCCGAACAAGTCAAATATTGATGTTTAACATCAACAGCCGTGTGTGTGCTTTTGCTAGGGCACAATTCCTTTGTGTGTGTGTGTTTGTAGTTGTTTGTGTGTCTTTACCTTGTCCTTCAAACTGTGCGTGCAGCCCATTCCAATGAGAAACTCCACCACTTCAAGCCGTCCGCTCTCAGCAGCCAGGTGAAGGGCCGTCTTCCCCGACTGCTCAGGAGAAGACACACGGGAGACGCTTGTAAATATACTCTGTGATGCACACAACGTTTAAACCAGGTCCCCTTCATTTACTGGCACACGGCTGACAACGTGGAGCAAACAACAACGTGTTTGTTCAGTAACAATATGGAAAGAAGGAGAGTGTGCGCTTAGAGTTGTATTCTCTTCAAAAGGGTATTTTTCCTCACAATTCTTCCAACATGCTTCTGATAATTCAGGGAGTCACCTTGTCGAGTCTGTCGAGTCGTACGTCTTCCAGGTCCTCCATGATGAACTCCAGGACTCTGATGTGGCCTCGCTGGGCTGCACAGTGCAGCATGCTCAGACCGTCCTAATGCACACACACACACACGGAAAATGACAATACGGCTATCGCTTTGAGTCCGCGGTGAGAGAAGGAGGTAGCTCTCACTTTGTTTTCACTGCTCAGCTTCGCCCCACAGGACACCAGGATCTGCAGGACCTTTAGGTGACCAAACCAGGACGCGAGAAGCAAAGCGTTCATGCCAAACTGTAGAGAAAGAAAGTGCAGGCGTGTTATTGAACAGCTCAGACAGTACAAGTACGCCGGGTGGCATTCTCCCCACTGGCCTTGGTCTGCCTCTGTGCTACCGGGTCAACTGACCTGAATGTGTCCCCATCATCTACTTTACAATCCTCCTCCGGAATGTTCTTTTCATGTCAGAATGAAGGGAGAGACCATCGCTTTGTTACACAACACATGCTCTGGGGTTTTTGGGGGGGATTTTCTACCTAAAAATAAATCTTTCATAACCCTTTATAAAGTGCCCACCCCCATTTGTTCAATCTATCATTCCTAATAAGTCAAGCAATTTCCGCAAAAATTGTTGGTGCAAACTTATTAGGTCGAGCACAAAACTCAGTGATGCATTTTACATTTGATGGAAGAGAAACAAAAGAAACTCATCCTCAATGCGCACTTGAGTCCTTCATGTCATTGTGCAACTAATTGAAAACATTGACACTGACCGGTGATGTAACATTCCTATTTCTGAGTTCCCCACAGAAGCGTGTACGTACAGTGTCCTTCTCATCGACGTCGGTGTCGTGGTCCAGCAGGAGACGGAGAGCCTGCTCGTTCCCGGCTCCCGCGGCCCAGTGCAGCGCTTTGCGGTCCATCTGCAAGGAGACGGGCAGACCGGGTGATGCTCACAGTGCAACGCACGGCTGAATTAGGCTCAGCCCTCTAACACACAGACCATTGGAAGAGACATGAGGAATCCTTCTAATCACCCGAGCCCAGCCCAGCTCCACGAACATTACAGCTTATCGCTTAGTCCCATCAAACATCTGAATGCAAATGCAAAATATCTGCTCTGAATAAAAGTAGAATGCTTCACTGTTGAAATCATCCGAAACAACAAGAAACAAACTGCAGTTCGTTACCTCACTTACTTTTCTGCAAGTGTCTGTGTCGCCTTGAGTAAAGCCATCGTTATTATTCTGATTATATTTTTATCTCTACTTTACTTCGTAATCTGAATCAGAAATCTGGTGTCTGACGATTGGTGCGTGACAATAGCCATAGTGCAATATTAAAAGACATCATTTAAAAATAGAAAATGTGAAACAGGATAAACAACACATCGTAGTATATATTTTCTATGTAGAATATTTTTAAAACAAGTGTCAAGTGCAGTAGATCTGTGCTGACAGGGATGAAAGTGTCCTTGAAAGAGGGGGGGGGTCTGTGATGAGCCTGATTGCAGACAAGGTGCCGACTTGCTATGGAAAGCAAAGATCACGTTTGTGTAAACTGTGACTTTGAACCCCTTACTTTGCTTTTGGCCTTGACGTCCACACCCTTCTCAATCAGCTCCTGCATTCTCTCCGGGTCGTTCCTCTTCGCCGCGTCGTGGAACTCCTTTTCTGACCAAAGCACTGTTACAGATTATAAAACAGGTTATCAAGAGTGTTCTGAAGGCTGGCAGGAACAAAAAAACATACACGCTGCTTTGCACTTTATTGAATGTCTAACTCTCATTGTCATTAACCCAGAAAATTATTGGCTCCATTAGTGTTGAAAAGCACTGGACGTGGCAGGTGGATACAGAAAGTATTAGTACAAGCCAGTGCATGCAGGGAACTATCTTATATACTCTCACTAATAACATCAGTCTATGACAGGAAGATGGAGATGAGGTTGAAAATCCGTTTGTCATGAGAACCATATTTCAAAATGAAATGCACCTTCAACAAAGACATAGCGTGGAGGAATTTAAATATAATTTTTCAAATATCATGAAAAGGTCTGAAGAGGTCCTCTTTAACAACAATCAAGTGAAAATAGAGCGTAACATTTTAAGGATGTGCTTTAAAGACAGTTCAAAGATGAAATAATGAATATTCCCGTTTGTACTGGTGAAGCCCCGGTACCGTAACGACATGAATAGAGGTGCATTTCATTTCAAAATGTGGTCCACATGGCCGCAGTGTTTCCTCCCGCAAGGAATTCCAAAACCAGCCGATGTAAGCTTGTCTTTCAAACGGTGAAATAATTCATTTTAAGAGAAGCGTTTACTTAAGACGATAATTCCTCATCCAAAGGGGACAGTGCGCCGTAATAGACGTAACGTGAATGTAAAACGTCCCGTATGGTGGTTAACAATTCAGTTTGCTGTAAATCACATTTTCATATTCTGTAAAAACACCGCGCCGAATAGAGTCATTATCTTGTATGGTTGTATAAAGAAAGTAGCGTAATATTATAACGTTAAGCCTCATCACCGCTGACAGGTACTCACAGACGTCCTCCTCCGACACCACGCCGTCCTCCATCTCTGCGTACTTCAACGCTTTGCCCTCCGCCCTCCCATTGTGGTGCTCTTATTACATCGTTTTCATCAGATGGAAAAGAAGGTTGGACTATAGTTATTTCTGTCAAGCCACATGGAGGAACTGTGAAGATATAGTTTCCGTTTACTTTCAAAATAAGATATTTAATTAATTATTTTGAGGTCAATGTTAACAAGTGAAATATCCTGTGCTGTCTAAAATAATAATCTTCGCATTAGATATCACATTTACATTGAGACAAAGCCTAGAAGAGCAGCATCATCACATGTGTGAAGGTAACACAAGCAGAAATGTTGCCATTGCTTTCAAAATAAATGTTTAAACGAAAAACTCAATTTATGGATCATATTGATTTCTTTGTAAATGTTCTGCCAATTGTATCCTGATGTAACGCTAAATATCAACCCTTTCATGCATAGAGGGCCCTACAGGGGATAGCTTTTCAAATGATGTATTTGCATGGGTTTTTATGGCATAGTTACCACTACAGAGGACGCCGTTGCATCGTCCCGTACTCTGCCACCCAGTGGCAAGCAGTTCTGCAAGATACATTTCTCGAAACCAGGATGGGTGGCAGACCGCCAGAAACAGCCCCATAAAAACCACTGGCCCCGGCTCACTGAAGCAAAAAATGGCAACAGATGCCATAATGCATGCACCTGATTCCATGAAACAACTTGGTAAAAAAAAATCCTGATTTATCAATTCAAGACAAAAATTAAGTCTGCCGGTTGCAGCAAGATTTGAAAAAATGTCTTTCTAAAAGAAAACCAATCAATTAATATATCTTTTTAACACACATTTCCCTCTCGGGAAGAATAAAGTATACATCTTTCCATCTATCTCTTACCAGGCCACAAAGTAAATACAAATTTGTAACACTTTGAGCAATCAAGACAGAACACATGATTAGATTATTTCTTTTGTTTATTGGGGCAATGACAAATGGCATCAAAAGAGTACAATATCTACAGTTAGAAAATATTCTTGGACATTTTAAATGGCAAGACATATTTGAAGTGGTCTAAACACCACAAGGTCTTTTTAAAATCCAATAACTTGACAAAAGAAAATTCTCATTTTATGATTCAAATGAATATGAAATTAAACTGAAAGAGGGGTTAGTTAGAGCCAAAAGCGCTTCTATAAGCTCTTATGTACAATATATATATATAGTATAGTATGGTACATATAGTACATATACATATGTATATACTTATGTACTTGTATGTATATACAATATATAGTGTATATATATATATGGATATATATATATATATATATATATATATATATGGATATATATGGATTACCAGTATTTCTTTTTGCTTTAATCACATTATTCTCCTGAACAAGATTTATTTCAGAGCTCCTGAGCTAGGTTGGTACATCTTTCCTCATCAACAATAAACAGCAGTAAAAAGCTGTAGTAAAAAGCATTACGTATTTACAATATTAATACCCTCATAAACTGCCAGCATATGACAATAGTAAACAAACCGATTGAATCCACAAAGAGTCAACTATTAATTTGGTAATAACACTTTTTAGTACTTTCTTTGCATGTTCTCAATGTATTGACAGTGCTGCTTTGCCATTATATTATTAATTCTCTAATTAACTTTCAAGTACTCATTCTGGAAACTGTCAGATATTTCACATTAGAAACAAAAATGTATATACTCAGTAGAGCGTTAAGCTTTACCTTGAGTTGAACTACAAATAATTGCACTTAGTTAATTATGAGCAAACAGTTCTGTGTGCTGCACAAACATCAAAATTGAATCATGCTCCAAAGTTTCAGTCCATAGCGTGCTGCACAAATGAGTCTTCACAAGTTGATTATGGTGGAAATGCACTTATTGTAAGTCGCTTTGGATGAAAGCGTCAGCTAAATGACATGTAATGTAATGTAAAAGTTTAACGCTGGAGTGAAGGACGTTTGTCTCCCCCCTCTGGTTGTGAGAGAAATGAGGACCAGGCTGTGAGGTTTCCGCATCTCAGAAGACTGTTTTCTACTTCATAGGTCATGTTCATATCATATGTCATATGTAATCTTGTCTTGGTCACTTTACTGCCATATTTTCACCATAGTCATACTCATAGCTCACATCACCCTTCCTGCCCACTTCAGATCCGGCTGGTGGATGTAAAACCCACGTTACCACAGCACACTGCGGAAAGTTTTCATTGGCGGCCACAGGCTTAGTCGGCATTCTGTCAACTTGTTTGTTAAGGGCCCGAATTTCATATATTTGAATTTAGCAATTTTAACAATACAAGGGAAAAGGCTGTTAGGATGCAGACTTGTTAAAGAGCCATAGAAAGCCGCTAATATTAGTCTAAGCTCTGATATTATCCAGGCCCTCGACACAGCGGAGTGATCGTTGTGAATGCTGCTTCTTTATTTTAAACCCATAACCCAGCGTTGAGCCGAAAGGGTTTTGTATCCTGTTTTGAGGTTTGGAAAGGTCGTACCGAATATCATTTTGACTTTTTACATTTTCACAGCCTCATGCAACTCACACATTTGCCTGTGTAGAGAAATCCACAGCTCGACAGGCTTGCTGCGCCTATTAAAGGTTACAAAGCTACCTCCCAACAATCCCTGTTCGGGGGAGGGATTAAACAAGCCGCTGCGAGTGACGTTCACCAGCTCTTCCTGTGGCTTGCGTTGTTCGCAACTTTCAGTTTGTTGACTTCTCTCAGGACATGGTCGGCCTTCTCCAGATTCTCCATGGCCCTGGCCAGCAGATCCTCTGTCTTGTCCTTCCTGTCCCCTCCATTCTGCGACCGGGACACCTTGCTCATGAGGTCCCTCGTCTTCTCCATCTCCTGTGCCACTTCGGTCTCCAGTTTCATGACGTTGGCACCAGGTGCCCCGTTACCGGCGGCCACATCTGCGGTATTCTGTCTCGCCGGAACATTGACTGAAGACAGCAGATCCCCGATGGAGGCCGACTTGGCTTTGTCTGACGGCTTGAGAAGCAGAGGGGGCCGTGGTTTCCGGCTGGGGAAGACCCTCGGTCTAACCTGAGGCTTGGGCGGAACCTTCGTCGGCATCAATCTGATGGGGATTTCATCCTCGCTGGCGTCAAACACATCCAGACCTGCGTGGCTGCCTCTTAATGCACCCGTGGAGGCCGCCAGCGTGTCTTCGCTCCCAGATCCCTCGCTGTCGTCGTCCGAGTGCTGACCGCTGTCGACAGATTTTTCCTCCGTCCTCTTTTTCTTCTCCCCGGGCAAGTGACAGAGCAGCGGACTCAGGCTGACCGCGTCGTTCAAAGAGACGACTATTGAGGGGGCTTCACTCTTGGGTAGTGCCTCTTCTGCTTGAGGAGAACCGGCTGAGGTATCCGAGGCCGTTGGCGGTGACGCAGTAGGGTCACGTCCCTCATTGATCTGCGTCACATTTGCGTTGTTGCCCGTGTGCGGTGTGTCGGGCTGAACGGGTTTCTCAGACTTTTTCTTGGGGATCATAGGAGGACTGAGGCTCTTCCCGAGAGTCTCTGTCGGTATTTGTGGCTCAGTGTCAGATGCTTTGCTTAAGTCACTGCCAGCAGCCTCCTCTGGTTCCTCTTCAGAAATGTGTCGTACAACGCCGGGACTCTCGGGTTTATCATCCTTGGCAGTAGGTGGAGCTTCTTCAGATATTGACTGGTCCCCTTCATCTTTTCCTACAGATGTTCCTGCTGCCTCCTCCTGATCGTCTTCTTCTTTCTCCAAATTCTCGCCAGTCACGCCTGGAACATCTTCGTCTGGCTCTACGTCAGGATTGGAGGGTTGGTTCTCTTTGGATGGAGAGGCGGGAGTGTGAGAGCTTGGCCTGGACTGCGAGTCCTCTCCATGGTCGCCTAAGGAGCCACTGGGTGTAGGTTTGATGGGAGGGGTTGGCGGTGGACCTGTCTTTTTGCTTGCATCGTGACCCCTTTCAGTCGCATTCTCAGCTTTGACCTCTTCTGTGGCATCGCCAAGAGGTGAAGCACACGGCTTGGCTTTGTTAGATGGAGGCATTGGTGGCTTTAGGACCTTAAACACATTAAATCCCATTTTAGAGACCATTTTATGAAAACAGAAAGACATACTCAAATATATATAAGATATACAGACCTTTTTCTCTGGGCCATCCTCCTTGTCAGGTTCGGCCTCAGGTGTTGGACAGGGTTTTGCCTCTTTGATAGGGGGCATGGGAGGTTTAATGACCTTTTTCTGGGGACTGACCTCTGGCTCAGTTTGAGCCCCCTCCTCAATGCTTGCCACTGTCTGTTTGTCAGCAGATTCACTAGTTTTGGACAGAGGAATTGCGACTTTGATGGCATCTTTGGAGGTTTTGCTGCCATCATCACTGGCACGGCAGGTCCCATTAGGCATTACGGCATCCTCAAGGTTGAGATCCAAGCGCAGGATACCATCAGACGACACATCGGCTACCTACAGGGCAGAAATAGATATATCGCTCAGATAAGACGTTGAAATAAATTCCAATTCAACATACAATAAACTGAAAAAAGCTGTTAAATACAATTCAATACAACTGCTGTTGCTAATGAAAAGAAAAGCGAGTCACGTCATACTCACCAGTCTGCTGCTTTTGAGTTTTTTTTTACATAACGACATGTAAACATGTACTTAACGACAGCAAATGGAAATGAAAGTAGATCTGGATAAAAGGTATTCCTAAAATGTTGTAACATATACTTGATATAAATTGTTCTAATCATAAATATAGTATTTTATATATGCTTAAATCACTGTCGCTGTAATTAATATTAGGATGAAGAATTTGGAACCGAAAGAAATTATCCACTACATGAAATCCTCAACAGGACTGGTTCCGTTTCTTACTTCTTCTTACACACTCACACTTGTGTCTGACCTAACAAAAAAAACGTCCGTGAGGAGAACAACACAGTTGAAATCCAAATCTTAGACTAATTCACTGCAGCGACAGAGCTAACTTATGTTGTACACACACACACACACACACACACACACACACACACACAAACCTCTTTCATGTGCATCCTGGTCGGTGGCCGCCGGTTCCGGTTCCCTTTGGGCCTCGTTCGAGTAACGTGCTCTAAATTAATGCTGTTATCAATCGTCACCTGTGAAAACATCCCGCTTACTGATTTGTGTTTCCACTGAATCCATTTGGGCTTTTGTGAGCTGCGCGTGTATAAACACGTAAACACTCACGTCGTCGAAGACTTTGTTCTTCGCCCGATTGATGCCATCGGTCAGAGCTTTAATCCAGGCCTCCTTCTCCCTCTGCAGTCTGAGCTTGGAACTTCACATCGTGGACCTGTGAGTCACACAAAGCCGTAGAGAATCCTCATTCCAAAGTGCTGCTGATGGTGAGAGGTGAAAACCAACGCTGGCTGCGAGACCCGCTGGTTCGCGGAAATCTTTCTGTCAGCATTCAGCCATTTAGAGGCCGAGTTGAGGAGGGTTACCCCGGAGAAACCAAGGGGCGGCCAAGTAGCTGTTCACAACCTGGTCAGAGCCTCTCATTCACACTGAACCACCACAACAGACTGCAAACTGGCCACAGATTCAGGAACTCTGACACCAACTCTAGTTTGATGTAAAATGTGGAATGCCGCAAAACAATTACAAATTGCTAAAACGATGTCTTGTAACAACATTTCCCTGTTTTACTTCCCTTTATTCAGAACATTGCCATAGCAATGGACAATAAAACAACAAGCTTCCTTTAATTTCGGGTCTTTTCTAGGGTAATATGGGGTATTTTATGCACCCTAATATTTGAAGAATTCTTTGTGAATAAAAACACAAAAACAATCAATTACAGGTTGTAGCCACATTGAGAAAGCAGCAGTAGGCCTCTGTGCACACTGGTGTCTGACTTACTCCTCAGCCTGCTCACTGCATAGGGACAGGGGGGGTGAGGGGATATTGCACACAGAAGAGAGTAATACCATGTGTTTGTTAGGAAAATACAAACATATCATATGTTGAAACACACACATGTCACACATACACGCATACAAAAGCTCTCCACATTGCAGCAGGGCACATAGACCCCTCCCTTCCTGTTCAGACTCAAGAGTCTTGTCTCACTTCTCTTTGCACCATTACAGCAAAATGACTCCTCTGTGATACAGTTTGTAATGGTGTCCATTTCTTTTGCGATTTTTAAGGACAGATTGCAGTGAATGATGGAGAGAGATGCAGCATGGGTTCTTGGCTGAAATGAGTTTTTGTTTTCTTGACACTAAAAATGTCTGCTTGTCATAGTTAGGATCTTGCTCATGAAGGATTCTCGTTCTAAAATCTCAAGAGGTGATGTATTGGCGAAAGACAACGGTGGGAAACAGCGGATCCCAGCTCACCTTGTTTCCAGGCCTGGGTGATCGAATTAGTACCAGTCTGTGCTTCTTCTTGAACGGACTTTTCAATTCATGACACTTATCGTAGTTTTCCAGGTTGACCCTCTCTAAGCAGTTCTGCAGGTCCTACAACACAAGAACAGAACCCAACGATCTTTTAACGAGGACCTCATTGTCTCTCTGTTCTGAACATAGTGAAGGAATGGTGGCGTACCTCGTTTTCATACACCACGATCTCCGTCCTCTCCACATGGACGTAGCGGTCCTTATAGCTTGCCAGCAGCCTGCCGGGGGCCTTCTTCACCCAGCCAGCTTTACTCAGGAACTTTGGCTCTTTCCTCTGAGCTGGCTCCTCTTTTGCACCCTGTGATCACAAAGGAAGGAAACCACACTCTAACACACACTTCAGTACCATCACTTTCGCTTCGTCATTTCCGTCATCAGTAAACCTCTACTAGAAAATATTGCAATGCATTTTTATTCAATAATAAAATGACAAAATAGATTTTTAAAAGACCTTCCCTGGATAAGCGGTTGAAAATGAAATGAGATTAAATATTTAACCAAAAATACAAAGACATAAATTTATATATATAAAAATATAAATATATATATACATTAATTTATATCTATAGATATAAATGTAATAGAAATATGTAAATAACTCAACAGTTTAATAGATAATACGTTTTTTTCATTTTATTCAAATCAATGGGAGGTATGAATATCTCATAGATTCATAGATAAGTTCAGCTGCAGCCACCAAAATATATTTAGAAAATATATATATAAACCTGCGCGCGCTACTAACTCAAATTGCCTCCTAAGCTGCTGATTTTGTTCACGCTGCTGGTGTGTTCGCGCTTAAAGCTGACAGCCGTGACTACGTGTGAAACCGTTGCCTGAATTACTCACGAGCTGACCACTGCTAATAATACGTAATGACATCTTCCTGTATTGACACTCGTGTGTTTTGTGTTTTCAATTTCAGATACATCTCCTTTCTAAGATAACTCTTATGTATAAGAACTAGTGGTGCTTCTTTTAAGTTGAAGAGGAAATGTGGCCGTGTTGCCACGGAGGCCTGTAAAGAGCAGCGACTCTGCTTTCTTATCAGACTTTTTCATTTCTGCCCTCTTTTCCTTTTCCTCTGACACACCTCGCCTCTTTGGACGGTGTCCACTTTGTGCTCTGCACACTCACTTCCCGCATGTTTGTCAGTGTTACATCTGTGTATAAAGCAGCCAGAGAAGGGGGAAGCATTAGGGAATACAAATTGAACAGCATGACAGCAGCAGATGCTGTAGGCCGCACACAGCAGCGATTGATAATGAAACTTTGGACCAGTTATAAGGGACCTGAAACGCTTAACATTTGTAACGAAAGTAGCGCGAGAGTAAACAAGAGTGTTGCCGTATTCAACCAGTGCATGATGCAGACACGGATGAAGCAATGGCAGTGTGTTTTGGATTTACACACACAGCCAACCTCTATGAAATATGGATTTACGTCTCCACACAGACATGTGGAGTAAGCGCTGCGTCAACCCCAAATGCTCCTCTTCTTTTATGCAGGTGTTTGCAAGAATTCTCAGCCTTTTGTTTCTTTTGGAGGAACTTCCACAGGATATCAAATTATCTTTGTGGTGGTAGGAGGGGCCATTTCGTGACCGGGGCGGGTCTGGGTGGAAGGTCACCATTCTGTTTTTTCCACTTTCACTGTAACTGCGATTGTGTGTCTCGACGTGAGCAAAGTCGGCAGAATGGCAAAAAATAAATAAATAAAAAATGGTAACGTTTGCAGCGTAAAGAAACTGAGTCCCCGTCGCAGAGCGCACAATGGAACACTTCAGTAGAGCATTGCACTGATCAAACCCGTACCCGTAGCTGACTATAGTAGCTCCACACTGCGATGTGAAACACACAGTAAGTGAAGGGAAGTCACAAAACTGACCGAAACCCCCAAAAAAAACTTGCGCCCATGTATGTGCCGTCTACAGTATTAGACCTGTGGTCAACACCGAAGTTGTGAAGTTACAATATGCTAAAGCTGAGCAGCGAAGAGAAGGCCGGGGGTTTTGGTGGAAGAGGCACACCTCAGCAGACATGTGTTTCTGATGAAGCATGAGGTCAGGGAGCATCTGGCACTTATTGATTTTCCCGCTGACCTGCCCAGCATGAAGTCACCACGAGCCTCACCGGAGCGCACACATTACTCCCGCTGACCCCTTACAACTCGGGACAGCGGGGCGAATAGGTTGTTCTGTAAACCGTTAGCGGGCCCCCCCCCCCAAAAAAAAGATGCCACTGCTAACCCACTAAAGCTGCACAAATAGCAAAAGGCAGTAAACACCGACATGAAAAAAAAGTAATCACAATTTGTGACTTGGAAAGTGTTGGATTGTGAAGATTCACTGCTGCCAGCGTGTCACATTGCAATGAACGAGTGTTTCCACGTGTTCCACGTTACAATACGATCTTACTCTTTAGTCAGTATTGCGTTGGGAATCGAGCCGGTCACCGTGTGCGATATACACTTTCTAACGCCCTTCTTATCGAAACTCACCCTATATGTGTAAAGCTGTGACAATGAGCCCTCTGTTCTACACCACAGACCACACGTTGTTTCAAAAAGCTCTGATGTGTTGGCAAACAATTCAAAGAGTGCACTGACACAAATATGAGTTCTGCAATTTACTTTACATCCTGTCAGTAGGGAAATCCTATGAATAACCATTAAAAAGACCCCAATGCTTCTGCTATTTCCTCCAAAGTGCCACTGCCTTTACTTGATTACAGTACAATACCTTGACTCATCTTGACCTACAAGGAAGAAGCTCTATGAGTATCATGTCAGCGGCCCAACTATGTCATCTGATGGTCGTGCAGGAATGTTGAAACACATGAATTACAGAGCAGGGGAGGATATCTGTTATGCAGCCATGGCCAAGTGTGAACATCTCTGCACACACAGCACCCACGTGCTTCCTATCCAAAGTCTTAACAACATAAGCTGTGGTCTCGGAATACTAATGACTCCATGTTATTCAAAGCTACACCTCGGCCATCGAAGCAGATTTATTTTCTGTGGGTCATTGCATTGCTAAAGTTTTAGATATGTTTTTTGCATATTTGATAAAGAGTAGAGCCGATAAGAAAAAGCAACCTTGTAACTTGTGACTGCAAAGTGAATGCAACTGTCTCAGTGGTGCACGTGTCCCTGTCGGCGCACACGTGCAACAGGGAGGAGTGGACAATTGTAGAGTCCAGGATATCTTGGGGGGGGGGGGCGGTTGGGGGAAACACTGTCTGAATACTGCCAGAGCAATACCTGACCATGACCTATTTCCTGTCTAATGCCTGTGGAACCGAATCCGATTGGAACGTCACAACCAAGCAGACAAGAAACGTGAAAATATGCTTCTTCTTTTCCATGCAGGCGTGCAGGTGTAGTATGGATGCACCTTCATCCCTACTGGTCTGCAGAGCTCCACCATCCCAACGGCCCTCTTTATGTGTTGAATTTATCACGGTGTTCATATGACCATGGTTTCATGCGTGGGTTTTCGCCGAGAACATATTCTTTTGTCAGTTCTCTCAAACCACGGAGCCTGATTCAATGCCAAATGTGACTGCATTACCATTTTCCAAAAAAGGTCACTTCCTCCCCCGAGGGTCTTTTAAGGAGGTTCCCTTTGGTCTTCTTCCCTGTTCAGTCCTGTTTTAAAATGTTATTTTTGTGAAAGTAAGGAATGCGATGAACACCAGGATGGTGTCATTTCTTCCATTACAGCTGTTGCACATTTTTTTGGACCAAAATATTGGACTATAATCCAAAAAACGCAATTCTAACACTGCGACTTTGAGCTCTAAGAAGATGCGGTGTCTGTTTTTCCACTACTACTTCCACTCACATTTAAAGAGGATTTATGAATTCATCAAGAACTCCCCCCCATAGATTGCTCAATAGTGAGAGCAATTATCAGTTGAAGCTGAATCATATGAATCTCAGGGATTTTAGGGGCTTCTTACTGAAAAAAAGTAAAGAAATGTCCCTTTAATCCTAGCATTCTTCTCAAATAAACCAACGAAATGTCAATGTCCTGCCCGTCCCAGCTGTGAAAAGGCTAAAACCGTCAGCTGACAAATTTAGGAACAAAGAGCAGGACTTTTACTTCCAGAGCCCTGAGATCAGTTTTTCCACTTTGCAACTCTGTAGGACGCAGCGGGACAGAGACGCGTCCTGTTATTATGAAGAATATGGAACGAGAAATAGGGAGAAGTGTCAATGCAGCAAACAACAGCATTTCCTTTTAAATCCTCAATCAATCCCTTATGCGATGAGAAAATAAAAGTCTTCCAAAAGAACATTTCCCTCATCTTTCCAACTTTTGAGGACTTTTTTTACACACATGCATTCACTATTGAGAACTTTCCCTTTTCATGAAAGCACTTTCCCAGAAATTGTCAGCGGCGCCCTGAAGAGACACACAAACACACCCGCGCACACACTCATCCATTGTGTGCAGAGGCCTGGACAGCGGGACGAGCATGAGAGAGGGTTAATTGTTTTCTGCCCGACACATAATGTGGCGGTCTGTTTCCTCTTTGCTGAATGAGTCGGGCAGACGCGTCACAACGTGCACTCCGGGTCAGAGGGATGGCGATGAACGGATGACTCATGGAGCGATCATCACGGAAGGGCCACAGCATTTTTTTTTGGGGGGGGGGGGTGATAAAGAACATATGGAAAAATGTGAAGTGTTGAGGGGGGAAACAGGGGGAAGAGTTCTAAAGACACAGATGAGAGCCAAACAGCTGTCCACGAGCAAACCTGCCAAGTAGTGGGTGTTTTTCCTACTTTAAATCTTTCTAGTCGTGGACACCATGCGCAAGAATTCAGCTGTAGACGTTAAAGTACAATATCCAAACAACAATGCAGAATATCAAAAACTATATATGTTTTTCAAAAGAGGAAAAACTGTTTCTTTGTCTTCCCGTGTTAATTACTCGTTGACCAGGCACAACATAAAGGTGAATGTATTCTTGTGTAGTATATTTAAACCGTTATAGTGGTTTTGTGGATTGTCGCCTTCATAGTTTGTCTGTCATTGCCTTCGTAGTCTGGCTAGAGAGAGATTCTAAGAAAGTATAGACAAGTAAAAGAAAAAAGAAGAGCTGCATTTAATGATTAGACTGTGGACATTGAACAGGAAGCTGTTTTATGGACGAGCTTTTGATGATCAATGTTACAATCAACCGGTGTGGTTAATCGTTTGCAAAAAGTTCCCTCCATGGTACGCAACCGCTCTACTTCCTATTTTGAGCAAGTTCGCTTCCTCAAAATGCAGCCACGCATGTAGTCAATCAAAAGCTACACATGAAGAAAGTACTGCAGTAAGTACAAAGGGTCTGGGGATCAAACCCAGTTGTTCTTCTTGAATGGCACAGATGAAACTGCATCATTATCCATTTGGTGATGAGTTCAAGTCCACATGGTGATCTTGTTGACAAGGGCCAGTCAAGCATCCTTCATAAATATGGCAAATCACAACTTACGTTGTAATTATGAAAATATGAAATGCTATTACGCCTGTATTGCCCCTTGTACTGCCTCATTTGCATATCATATCGGATTCGGCATATGTGCGATCTACCATGTATATTTCATTTGTGAGATCTGACCTCCCTTCCAAAAATGACTCGTTACGCAGCGTGCAACCCAAAAATAAATGCTAAAATGAATTTTTCACACATAATAAACACAGGTTGAAATAATGCCGAATCTACCGAAGGACACTTCTGAATAACACGGGGTCCGTATTTCAGCTTTTAAGGTCAATACGTGGACACGCACTCGTTGCGCCGCATTAAAATGCAACATCTTTCTGGTGGCCTCTGAACCAACAAGTCCATGAAACAGATTGACAGGTGTGCAGGTGCTCTCGTGCAAAATGTGGTTGGCTTTAGTTGACCGCGGCTGACAGTTTGGAACCAGCAAGAAATCTTAAACTGACGTACTTCTTTAATTGCTGTTGCACACATCACGGAAACAGCGGTCCGAATTGCCACCTCGTCGCCTCCTCGGGCCTCGCTGTGCTCCCTCGCTACTTGGTCGCGCCCTCGCAAAGTAAGTAAGTAAGTAAGTAAGTAAGTGTGCAACATCACACAGTGAACGCACACTTGCGTGTTCACCACTTAGGTCTCTAAAACTACAGCTCTGCGTTGCTAAAGACTAAGCGGCACACGCGGGCGGACTTCAGCGACTACTCACATCATCCATGATAAAAGGACCAGAAATCCGTTATGTGAGCGGCTGTAGCCCCGAGAAGAAATGCCTCGACGTCGCCTTTATCCTCGCCAGAAACCGACTGCTTCTCGCCTGTTGGTCGGCAGCTGACGCATCTCAGACAGCGGGCGCAAAAAGATGAAGAAAACAAGGAACCGGGCAGTCTATGACACCGAGGGGTCGTGCCTCTTCTGTTTTCTCCTTTTTCGGTTTTGAAAAAAACAAAACAAAGTTTGAAGCAAAAAAAAAAAAAGTTTGGCTTCCGGTTAAAGTCCCCTTCACTTTTTTTTTTTTTTTTTTTGACGAAATCAGAGATGGTCTGTCGAGGAGGAGCGAAGCGATCCGCACCTCCCGCGCATCACCCGAGACATCTCGATCGTATCTCCGAGCCCCGGACTCCGCTCATCCGATGCGCGTCGCGCCGGAGGACCACATCCACGGCACGAAAGCAGCGGCTCCGATGCATCATCTCCGATTTCCAGACAGAAAGCAGCCCTTCTCACCAGAAGGTCCCTCAAGAGTGGAGAGAACATTTCCTGCATTCACTAAACTTTAGAACGGGGCCCTTTTCCCCTCATGGTCGCTCTTTGACTGGATGCTTTAAAACTGACATTTTAGCCTCCTTTTTTTAGGACACATGATGAACGGTGCGGTGGCCTCTCACGTTACTACACCCAGCAACTTCCTGGTGGGTGCGGCTGTTCCTCCTGGTTTAAAACGCGCCATAAATGACTGCTTTCATCAGTGATTACCATTTACTCACGCGTATTGGTTATAAACCATGAAACTGGGTGGTCTCTAACCTGTGTGTTGGTAAAATGCAATTAATACATGCTTCACAAGTTGTTAATGAACTGTCATGACAACTGACGGGAGGACATAAAGGATCATCTCCTTCTCTGTGCTTCTATTTAGCCGGGTGCTCAGCCGTCGACCCCTTCCGAAGAGGGACAGCGTGTCACATCCCTGTTTGTCAGAGACAGGTTGGCGACCCAATGCCCGCTCTTCCTCGGCCCCCACCACCAGATTCATGCTCAACCTCAAATAGGCAACGCCGACCTTGCCCTCCCTCTCCGCAGGATTTCTCTCATGGTAGAAATAGCCGATAACCCCGTCGAGGCACATGATGGCGTCTGGCTTCATGAGCAAAGCTGATGATCACTCTCTGGACCGTGTGTCTACTCCGCCGGAGAGATGAGGAGAGCAGCGCCATTTGTTTCCTTTCTTTCCCACTGTCTGTCTGCCTGGACTTGGGAGATGAGACAGATGGGCACTCAACACTTGATTATTGGCCTTCGTGTCACTCTTTGTCGCACAAAAATAGCTGCCGTTACTTAGACACTGCGATCAAAGAGCCTCTTCCCGTTATAATTAGCTCTTACTCTCATAATGGTGCCTTTTTATGCCCTTCAGAGGATCTTCACCATGCTGATTGCACAACAACAACAACAATCCAGCGCCAGCCTCCGGCTATTTCCCCATCGATCTCCAGGGAAACGTCAACGGAGAGCAAGACTTTGTTTCCTCCTCTATGCTCCCTCCTGCCCCCACCTTTCAATCATATTATTTGATTATAATACAAAAATCCATGGCAATTTGAGTAACAAGCTAAATTGGTAACATACGATTTTCATTTTTTTATATTCACATGTAGCTATTTACATTTATGGTTTGGAACAAAAAAACTGCAGGACCATGCCACTTTTCTTTGTTTGCCTCATGGTCTATTACATACCGTACTAAATTCTCAGGGTCTGAACACTAAATGAAATGTTTAAGTTTTTGATTGTTAACACATTTGAAAAGAAGTGATTTTGCTCCTCTGTGATATCGAGTGAGAGTGAATGTGGAAGTGAAAAGTGATATTCCAGTGTGCTAATTTTGGCGCGGAACTGTTTAATGTTGTACGCGGATCTACCCGGACGACTTTGGGGTGAGGACGGGGCGGCGCCATCATTTCCGCTCCTTCTTAAATCTACTGAAACATTTCAATAACGAAGCGGGCTTCATAACAGGTGGCCTTTTGTTGGCACACTGGTCGAGAACACACGTGAATAATGTCTGAAGCTGCTTTTGAGGAAGTTTCCGCTTTATCGTCCATCTACTGCGGAGAAGGAGAGTTCCGGCTCCTCCAGCGGTCCGGTAACGTCAACAACATGTCGCTTCAAACACTGTGGTGTCTCACGTTTTAAGCCGCAACAAACGGCGCATGTTGACTCACAACCTGAACTCTTTGGCCTCAAGACACACCTCGTTTTCAGGTGTTACTGCTGACAATCACATTAACACCAAAACGTGTTAATAATGAGACAAAGTGCTGCATGTCACGTTTCCTCAACGTCCAACATTCCTGAAATAACGAATGAAAGAGGACTGCGCTGTTTTATCTGCCTTTATCTATGTTGATATAGTAAGACATGGAAACAACTTTGAATAAACCCGATATTACTGTACCGACATGGCTTAAGTCTTTATTGGCAGGGTCCACCAGATGGGGGCGCTAATCGATCAAATACTGAGTGAGGCCGAGATCAAAAATTGGCAGGTGACAGGTAGATTTTTCGACCCATTACATTAATTCATCACTTAACAAATGGGTTCTCGGTGTATTTATTTTAGCAAGCACGGACGACACATATTTTTGTTTTGTTTCAGCGTTGCCATGCGGCTCTGAATCAATACGTTTCAATCATGTGAACTTGTCAGTCTCAGTGATCTGCATTATCACTTACAAACGTTATTGGAGTCTGAGATGATGCTTCACCAACATCAGTATTATTCACAGCAGTGTATTTTCCCTCTTGATCTCATGAAAATGTGTGTTTTCAATACAACTAATACTACTATGTTTTCCAATATGGCTCGAGTATTCAGTGGAAAAACACATATTTGTAAAAGATGCTCATTTACATGGGAATCGCATACGGATGAGGAGGCAGGTCCTGCTGTTCTGTTCTGTACAAGATAGTATTTAGTGATTAATACAGACGCCTGTACCATTTTATGAAGTGCAAATACGAATGCCCACCAATGCTGGCAGGCCTACACACTGCTTGGCAATTATTATTATTGGCATTCATTTGAGAGGTATTTACCATCAAATCAGAATGGCATGCCATTTATATATGTATATAATATATATATATATATATATATATATCTTTTTGTTATAATGGTAGGGGAATAACTGATATACAATATATATACTTGTATCTTTATAATGCCTAATGTGCTTGATATTTGCATATGAATCAGAAAGTCTTACAGGTGTGTCTGTCTGACAGTGAACCTCCCCTTTTAAGTGGCACCTGCCATTAGGAAATGGTGCTATTAGGAAATGGTACATGCTGTTTGAACAGGAGTTGCAAAAGCGCCCAGAATGATTGCAGTATTCTAATATTGCTCTCTCTGTAGCACAGGATGGGCTCATGGTTCAGATTAACAGGACTGTTGAAGGAGTGGACGTAAGACTCTTGTTCCATCTGCACCTCCGCTACCCTTCCTGTCCCCCCGCCATCTCCGTCTCCTCCACTGTCCTCTCCAGGACTCAGTGTCAAGACGTCAGGCAGAAGCTGCTGAATCAAGCTGCTGCTTTACCTCCAGAGCCGATGGTTCATCAGCTAGTGGAGTGCTTGCAGGTAAATGAGCTCACTGACGGAATTGAACATAACAATATATTCATGCCCCACAAGTAATTCATTTGCTTTAAAAAAAATTGCAGTGTGTGGTGACCGAGAACTTCACAGGCGGTGAGGAGGAGGAGGGAAGAGAGAGAGAAGAAGAGGAGGAGGACTGGACCGCGGCGCTGTCGTTGGACCACATCCGATCTCGAAATCGCTACATCAGTCTGCTGGAGCGCTGGAGCCAGCAGCTGCAGCTCAGTGGGAGGTTACTACTGGGACAAAGTATACTGGTGATTCTGCAGGGAGCCAGATCCAACATCAAGGTACTGACGCACATGTTAAGCCCGAAACTATCTGCAAATAGCTGCATTTGTAAATGTCACGCGAGTTATAACCCGTTTTAACTTCAAAGTGACTTGTGATGTTTTTTACTCCTGCGTACCTTTTGATTCTATCCTTGTAATCGTGTCTCTTCAGGAGTTCTGTCGCCTTTTGAGGACGGTGAAGGTGGATGTCGATTCTTCAGGCAAGAAATGCAAAGAGAGAATGATGAAAGTTCTCGCTGAAAGCCCTACGTCCTCCTTCAGCGGGCATGAGTACGGATCACAGAAGTACGGTGTAATAAGTGAATATTCGAATGAGGGGAAAGACTTTTCAAAAAGTCTCCAGCTCTCATCAGGTTTGTCTTTATGCTTCCCATGTTTTCCGTAGAATCCAGGGTTTTCTGGTGAGGAACTACGAGTCCCTCGCAGAGTTGACTGCGGCTTTCCAAGAAATCAACATGACGGGTCTTTACCAGCAGATACGGCCGTCACTGAGTGACTGACGGCACGCAGCCAAATACGGCCTATTTGGGCTGTTGAGGCTCGACATGGTCTACACACTGAAACGCGCTACACACACACAAAATCGCTATAGAAGTACAGTCCATTTACCATGTTACTTTGGACAAGGCAATTTACCTCAAATTGATCATGAACGTGTATAACTAGTCGTGATGGACGGAGTGTTGCTTGCTCGGCCCGGACATCGCTCTGTCAATGTGTGTGAATGGGGGAATTAACCTTTACTGGGAAAGCGCTTTGAGTGGTCGGTAGACTAAAGCGCCATATACGTACAGTCTATCTACCATTAGTATTGTAGTTAAACAATATATATATGTGTGTGTGTGTGTGTGTGTGTGTGTGTGTGTGTGTGTGTGTGTGTGTGTATATATATATATATATATATATATATATATATATATATGGGAGAGTGTGATAATATTCAGAGAACTCTGTATTTACAAGATTAAAGTAGTACATTTTCTATGAAAATAGCTTGATTGGAGAGAAGTTATCTTCTGCTTGTGAATTTCTCATTTTAATTTTATTTCACGAGGAATGCACGTTGTAATTATTAAACCATCAACCGAAGAGCACCGTAGTAGACAAGTAGTAGCAAACAACTAGGCTATATTGTCCAAATACAAGTTAAACAAATGGATTCATTAACGTTGATTTTCACCTCTGCCCAATGCTTTTATTCATCTGTCAGCGTGTTTTAATTGTTATACTGAATCTCTGTCAGACTCATAGCAGATAAGACAATAAGAGGTCAGAGAAACATGGTGGTATCTTCTCCCGCTAGTTTCATGGATGTTTAGCACACTATTTTGGGCCTTTTGTAACCTTCATCACAACCACGGCAAGGATGCACTTGTCAAGACTCTAACATTGATTATTTATCAACACAAAATACCAATGACAGATGAATCATTCTTAAACAATGATGCTTGCCTTGTTAAAATAAACTTAACTGAATGGCAGTATGTACGTAGAAGTTTGGCCACTGCGTTTAAATCTGCTCTCTTTTGAGAAATACGTCTACGAGCTCTTTTAAAACTCACTACGAGACATGAAACACACAACAGAAAGTCTGTGCTTTCACTCAGCGGCACATTGTGTTCAGGGCCAAGTGATAGCAAGACGTTTGTGCACCGATGTTTATAGGGAGGATCATCTACACCCGAGTTGATCACCAGCACATTGTTTTTTCCCAGAGCCCCCCTTGTTTTAGCATCTTAATCGTCCTTCTATATATTCCTGCCAAGGATCGTTGGCACTCAATTGCAGCATTATTGCAGCACTCAACCCGGGATCGATTCGCTGCTAATGCATCTGTATGCTGCAAAAACTAACATATCTCAGGTTGCAGGTCCATTTTAACTTTTCTATATTAATCTCTTTCATAACAAGCAGTTTGACATCAGCATCGTGGCTCAGAGTGCTGGCCATGGAACCACGGTGTGTTTGAATCTAAATGTTTAAATTTGTATTTTTGACAGAGAATTACTCAGACCGAAGCATAAATGTACATTAGGCTGGGAAAAAGTACCAAATGGGGCAGCATTAGCATATACAGGATTGACCTGAAATGTGTATGAGGTAATTATGACAGATGGGAACGTTAATCAGTTATTTGCTCTCCTGTTTATCATCTGTAGATGATCAACTGAATGTCAAAAACACGTGCCCTGTGATCCTTGAGTTGTAGAGAGTTTACATCACATACTGCGTATGAGCATGTGAACCGTGTGCCTCTTCTTGCGAGAATAAACGCTCTAGAATCCTTTGGGTTTTCACAATCTTTATTTTTACGTTGTCCCCAGGACTCAAATGTGAACTTTGACTTGGAGGCAATGTCAGTACTCTTGTGTTTGTTTGCTTTTTGCTCTGACTGGCTGACTAATACCACTGCATCACACAGCGTGCTGGGAAATCGTGTCATCCAGCTGGTCCCATATAACTTTTAAAGGGGGGGGTATATGTGTTTACCAAACAATACAATACATGTTAATAGGACCACTTGTGTATCTTGGTTTTAAATAGACTAGTTGTATAACATTAAAATGTGCTGTGCAGAGGTGTGAATAAGACCTGCCTGCAGAGGGCAGTGAGTTCTAACTGTTCTCAGGTCTGTCTCTCTCTCTCTCTGTCCCACACACACTAATCAACATCACCCCGTCAGCCATTTCTCATCAATAACAATCATAAAGTCACTCTCACAAAACCTTTTTTTAAAGTATTTGTTGGTGGTTCAATATGTTGTTTCCTCATCCATCTGCTGAAAGGAGCCAGCGAGGAACCGCACATCTCGGTTCGACACGTGCACGTTGCGCAGCTGATCGGGGCCCCAAACGAGGTCCTCGGCACACAGCGACAAACGACTTCATATTTACAGGCGTTTAAACTGATACAACCATTGTTTGCATTTTCTCGGCGAAATGAAGTGAAGATATTGTATTTGTATTAGTTTATTGAACTTTTGTGTAAAAACGTCCAGAAACACAATATTCAACGCCGAGCCGTCAAACGTGTCCGCATGCAGCATTGGATCAACTATTGACGAGTCTTTGTTTCGTTTCGTTTTTTTACCGTGAAATAGGACTAAAAGGCGCACAGACCTCCTTCGTGGGAGGCGCTTTCCTTGGGACTCCTGCACGTGGCGCGCGCGCCGCGGGGTGTCGGGCGGTGTAAACGGGTAAATCGGGTCGATGTCCCCGTGAGGACTGCGATCTGCACCGGGATGTGCTGGTGATTGATTGGTAACACCGATCCGATACGATGACTGCGCTCTGGCTTTTCACGGTGTTCGTTGTTCAAACGAGTCTATCGGTGGCGTCGGGTCCCGGATCGGGTCCCGGATCGGGTCCCGGATCGGGTCCCGGTCCCGTCTTCACAAACCACTGGGCGGTGCGGATCGCAGGGGGTCAGAAACAGGCTGACAGGATCGCAGCGAAATATGGGTACATCAACTTTGGACAGGTAAGTTGTTTGTTTGGTTGCCCTCCGTCTGCTTTGTACGTTTGAACGGGTATGCTGAAAATAGAGAACACCAATCAGAAAGATATACCCAAATAAATATAAATATTGTGTGGATGTCTGAAAATATTTGAGGATTTTACGATTTTCCAATGACATTGTTGTTGTCCATTCAAAAGACATATCTGTAAATTAAAGGAAAGGTCTTCAAAAGTAACTTTCCATACTTTTTCTTGTGTCACCCCTTTCTGCTGTATCTAGATTTTAAAACCATCATTTTAAAATTTTAAACCGATCACTAGTAATTGTGTGTAGGCTACATGGAAAAGCCTGAGCCAGAAAGCATTTTCTTCACACATTATGAACGTCAGTTTCTCTAAACTTGGTGGCTAATTAAACGCGTGGAACCCACAAACTGCCACAAACCCCTGAACTGACAGCATGTCACGTGATACAAAACAATATGTTTTTGTCGCTTTATAATACGGTTGTTATACCAACATACCGAGATGGTCCTCTTGAGCTCGTTCCCAATCCCATGGGCCCCATGTTTACAGAAGCCCATGAGGGACCAACCAAACACTGCCTCTGCAGAGGGCCGGTTCCGTTTTTGCGTTTTTGTATTGGTCACGTGCTTACTTTCCTTATTCCTACACGCTTGGCACACAGGAGAAGTTTCAGTTAGTTTCAATCTTTATCGACTTTAACTAAAATCAATTAGTCAATTAAAAGTGCAAACATACATCACACGGTTGCACTTTGATAAACCAATTTTAGTCTTAAACACATTTACACTTTGAATAGATTGTGTGCAGATTACATGGTTTTGGGACAATGGTATTTATTTTGTATTTTCTAATGTGCTAATAGGGTTTTTTTTTCAGTATGAATCTACTTTTAATATGATGATTAGACATTGTAACATTCACATTTTAGGAGCTTTCTACTTCAACATTTTTTCTTGGACCTGGAGAAATACATTTTTACTATAAATAATCTGTAAAAGTCTGTAAAAAAAATCTGTAAAAAATAATCAGGCGTGTGCTTGAGGATTGTGGATCTGCAGTGAGCCAGCTGAGCACATGTGCTGAGAATCAGGCTCACATTTTTGGGGTTTGGTCCAGAAAGAACATGGATATTTACTAAATCATAAACAGATGGCCCAAAATGTATTTTAAATGCAGACTGAGCCAGACCACATCGGGGTAAAAGCCATTTGGATTAGCTCAGAAAGTAGAATGTTTAGCTTACATTCCAGTGTGCTGGTTGTCATTGTCTTGATGTGTTGTTGTATGTGTTTGCTCAGATAGGAAGTCTGGAGGGCCATTACCATTTCCACCACAGCAGAGTGGTTCGCAGAGCTCCATACTCTTTGAAGGGCCCCCACAGCTTCATCCATATGGATCCTCAGGTGAGATTTGTGTCCATTTCTCTCAAGTGATTTAAAACAGAGGCATTACATTTCTGCGCTGCCAAGTCAGCAAATCTCAGAGTGAACTCAGTGTTCCCAGTTTGTGGGCTCAATGTGCAGTCTAGAACACGGCGGTGGAGATCTGGATTGTCAGTGTTTTGCAAAACAGAAAGTGACCAGAGTTTTGCTCTGGTAAAGTTCACTGGTTTTGTTACGGTCCTTATTACATAAGGATGCAGTCAAATGATCCTCCCGACTAATCCGTTCTCTTCACCGCACATCGCAGGCGCTCCATCTGTTGTCAGGGCCATGCAGAGCAGTTTCATTTCATTCACACGTTTAGATTCCTTCTCAAATATGTATTGTGTGCCATGCATTGATTTAATTCACAAAAGTTCCTTTTGTAATGAAGATCAGGTGTTGCTTAAGCTTACATTTTAAAAGGACACACGCCAATCAACTCTCCTTTGGTAAAAGGCCTCGCAGATTCAGCCTAAATAAAAGTAGCTTTCTCAGAAGCCTCCCTTTGCGATTTGGCCTTTGTGCACCAACATATTTTTGTTATGTTATGTCTGGTTTTGAGTAACTGGCAGCAGTTCATATATTTCTGTATTTGTTTGATTTAGTTGGTTGATCGCCTGGTGTCATGACATCCAAACGGGCTTGTAAGAGGCAACAGATCTGCTTCTCCGTGGCTAATTTTCTGGTGGACAAAAGAGACAGAAGAGTCTGAAGCGGTCATTGTAGCATGAAGACAGCAGGGATCTCTCTGTGTACACTTCACCCCATCAACAGGGGAATAGTTGCAAATACAAGATGGAGAAAAGTAAAGTTTATTTTGATCTAAATATACAAATCACAAAAGCAAAGAATTTCTGGGAACCGATCCTATCTGATACTTGTGATTGTATTTGCTGTCTGTGGATCACGCGTAACACACAGCCAGCGATTGGTGCAGGTAATTAAAAGTCAAAGCAGGGAAAAAAGGTCAATGGGTGTTTTAACATCGCATTTCAGATGTAAAGTTGTTTTGTTTTGTCGAAAAGGTCTTTACTTCATTTATATACAAAAATATTTTTGTATTATATGTCCAAGGTGTGGGCTTCTATGGATAACAGCTTTGACTTGAAACTGATTTAGAGTGTTCTTTCTGTTTCCATTTCCATCTTTAGGTGGACTGGGCTGAGCAACAGGTAGTAAAACACAGAGTAAAGAGAGACGCTCAAAGGGACCCCAGCTTCATTAATTTCAATGATCCTAAGTGGTCCAACATGTGGTACATTGTAAGTACAGAACACTTAAAACATTCATCCTGCCAATGTCATTCTGGCAAGAAAAGATAAACAGTTTGGGGCTTGTGTACCATGTTTCTTTTCAGCATTGCAATGATAAGAACAGCCGTTGCCACTCGGAGATGAACATTCTGGCTGCCTGGCAGAGAGGCTACACGGGCAAGCGTGTGGTGGTCACCATATTGGATGACGGCATTGAGAGAAACCACCCTGATCTGGCACAGAACTATGTATGTGCATCCATTTAACCATCTCCAAATATGGTTACAGTTCTAAACTAAAAATGTGTCTTAATGTACTTAATTCAATTTTTGCTTTTAACATCTTGTGTTGGTGCCTTAAGTCATTAACCTTTTGGCACCAGTTCATCATGTTCAACTATGATAGAAGCTTTACCTGTGTTCTGCATCTCAGTCTCACCAGTGTGTTGCTTCTGTTGTTCACTCTTTTTGTAGGATCATCTGGCAAGTTATGACATCAATGGTAATGACCACGACCCCACACCACGTTATGACTCCCGCAATGAAAACATGTGAGAAAGAATACCACCAACGTATTCACCGTCACAATAGACTTACAGTTGTGGTCAAAAGTTGACATACACACGTAAAGATCATAATGTCATGGGTCTCTTAAGTTTCCAGTTATTTGGACTTAACTATGATTTTTCTAATAGAGTGATTGGAACAGATACTTCTTTGTCACAAAAAACATTCATGAAGTTTGGTTATTTTCTGACTTTATTATGGGTTAACAGAAAAATTGACAAAATCTGCTGGGTCAAAAATATACATACAGAACATGAATTAGCAATATTGCTGACAAAATTGGTCAGAAGGGTGAAGAATCAACTGGGAACCACCAAAAAGCAGATCTGCCAAGAATCAGAAGCTGCTGGAACACCGCGTGTGCATCTCCATGGACTGAGAGGCTGCCGTGCAAGAAGGAAGCTCTTGCTCCAAAAGTGGCACCTTAAGGCTCGACTGAAGCTTGCTGCTGATCACATGGACAAAAATAAGACCTTCTGGAAGAAAGTTCTGTGGTCAGACAAAACAAAAATTAAGTTATATGTTTGGAGGAGAAAAGGTGAGGCCTTTCACCCCAAGAACACATGCCTACTGTTAAGTACGGTGGTGGTAGTATTATGCTGTGGGGCTGTTTTGCGGCCAATGGACTGGTGCTATTCAGAGAGTAAATGGGATAATGAAGAAGGAGGATTACCTTCAAATTCTTCAAGATAACCTAAAATCATCAGCCCGACGTTTGGGTCTTGGGCGCAGTTGGGTGTTCCAACAGGACAATGACCCCAAACACACACAAGTGGTAATCAAATGGCTAAATTAGGGTTTTAGAATGGCTTTCCCAAAGTCCTGACTTAAATCTGCCTGGTTCTCAAATCCCATTGAGAACATGTGAACAATGCTGAAGAAACGAGTCCATGTCAGAAAGCCATAAAATTTAACTGAACTGCACCAATTCGGTCAAGAGGAGTGGTCAAAGATGCAACGGGAAGCTTGCCAGAAGCTTGTGGATGGCTACCAAAAGTGCCTAATTGAAGTGAAAATGGCCAAGGGACATGTAACCAAATATTAGCACTGCTGTATGTATATTTTTGACCCAGCTGATTTTATCACCTTTTCGGTTAACCCATAATAAAGTCATAAAAGAACGAAATTTCATGAATCTGACTTGTAGAAATAACGGGAAACTTAAGAGAGCCATGACATTATGTTCTTTACAAGTGTATGTAAACTTTTGACCACAACGTGTCAGGCTTTCATTTCTGTGCTTGTTCTCTTTTCTCATGTAGGCATGGAACTCGGTGTGCGGGTGAAGTGGCTGCAGTAGCCAATAACTCCCATTGTACCGTTGGAGTTGCCTATAATGCTCATATTGGAGGTAGAGTTGTGTGTCTTTGTAGTGTCAGCTGTAAACCACCATTTTGTTCCAGACATAAACCTATAAACAATTCAATGATTTGTCACTACGGAGCTAATATTCATGGTTCATATAGATGTATCCTAATGACTGTTGAAGTCAAAGGTTCTCTTTTGCAGTGAAACATGTCAAAATCAATTACATTGATTTGCAAAAGGTTTGCGACAGACACTGTTAACAAACACAGGAATCCTAATAAATGTGTTGATCTTACTTTTAATTAGGTCATAGCCAGGTTGTTGTTTTGTAAGTTAGAGTAACTTCTTTAACGTATCCTAAAAAGATACAGGTCATACCTTGTTCTGGTTCCCTACCAAGAACCAGAGCTCAGGCGTCTGCACAGGTAAACATGTAAACAGCATTTTACTGGTGAGCTGGACCAGATGGAAGTAACTACAAGTTATTTATAGCTTTTGAATAGTTATAACTACTGATACTGAAGTATCCTATTTTATGAGTTAACCATGCTTCCTGTGTAAAATCAAGCATAACTTTCAGCCATCAAATAAAATATCAGCCATATACTGTACTCAATAGGTCTTTTCTTCTAAGCTACAATATATCTGATTTAAAAAAAACAGGGGCCTTTTACTCATCCATTTGAAATGAGTTTTGTGGTTCTGATTGGACACCTTGCACACAGGGATTCGGATGCTCGACGGTGATGTGACTGATTTGGTGGAGGCCAAGTCCCTTGGCATCCGACCTGACTACATTGACATCTACAGTGCCAGCTGGGGGCCAAAAGACGACGGCAAGACCGTGGACGGCCCCGGGCTGCTGACTAAGCAGGCTTTTGAGCAGGGCATCAAGAAGGTTTGTGGGCCGAGAAAAAAAACAAACCTCTCTAAGCAGTCTTGTGCATATTTGATGGATGTTTGAATGAAATGACAGCTACACATCTCTCTGTATCACACAGGGGCGCAAAGGCTTGGGGTCCATTTTTGTCTGGGCGTCAGGTAACGGGGGTCGACAGGGGGATCACTGTTCATGTGACGGTTACACCAGCAGTATATACACAATCTCCATCTCCAGCACCACAGAGAACGGAAACAAGCCCTGGTACCTTGAGGTCTGCAGCTCCATCATTGCCACAACGTACAGCAGTGGAGAGTTTAACGAGAGGAATATTGTGAGTACTGCATACAGTTCAGTGACTGTAGCTCAGGCAGTTGGAGAGATTTAATCAATTCCAAAAGACACAGGTTAACCCAGTGTGAGAAGGTTGGTCATTCCTCTGTAGTTATTCGCCTCGTGGCTCATGTTGAGAAAAAGACACGCTTATGTTGCTCCGTGTACTCAATGTGGGATTTGTTGCAAACACATTCGCTTTGACAATTTTACAGTATAAGGTGGTAAAATGTCACATGTTGCTACCAAAAACAGTTAGTGAAATTAGCTTCAATGCTTTAAAATGAATAAAGCTTGTTAAATAGGGTAAAGTGAGGGTAGGCAAATTGAAATTTAAAAGTAAAAAGATGGCAGATGTCTATTGTCAGAAAACAGGAAGTACTGGTCGCTTTTTTGTTTTGTTTTTACGTCAAAACCGTTTAGTTACTAGTGAGTATTCCGGCTGTATCAGCCACAAACAGACCACAGAAAGTGTGACAAATGACCTCTGCTAAACCTCCGGGAACTTGACTGGCTTTCAAATGAAATCCATTCAAATGTATTCCTACAGCACATTGGAATCAAAACGTGTGGACCGCAGTGCTTTACAAGCACATGCGGATTAAAGGGTAACTGCCTGGTGTTTAGAAACAAGTGTGTGTGGACGGGAGGTCAGCCAGTTCCTACCATGTCTCAGCCTGGCATGTCGTGCCTTATTGTGTGGAATACTGTAACTTGTTGGTGCGATGACACTTTTAACGAGAATAAAGTCATTGCAGGAACTACATCGTTTTTGTGATCCCTTGCAGATAACCACCGACCTCCGGCAACTCTGCACTGATGGTCATACCGGCACTTCTGTCTCCGCCCCAATTGTGGCGGGGATCGTAGCTCTCGCTCTGGAGGCAAAGTCAGTCAACTTTCAAAGTCTTGCTGTTTAATACCTCAGTACCGTCTTCCCGTCCTCTTTGGCCCTCGGTCTCCCGTCTTTCATTGTGTCTGTTTAGATGCTCTGCTGTTGAGAAGCTCTCATCGCGACATTGCATTGTCACACCTCCGAGTGTTCGACAGACATTTTGAGCCATTTATGAAACCTTTCTGTAAATCAGCGCCTAGAACACTCAGTATAAACTAAGCTTAAAAAGACTGCGCTGCCCTCTTTGTGGCCATCGGTTCCTAATGAAAATGTAAATCATTTAAGCATTTTTACCAAAAACATCACCTTTTGATTTCAGAAACAATTCTTGTTAGAAAGTTATATTTATTTTCTGTTCTGGTGTTTTTTTTAAGGGATTTGTTAACAATAGGGAAAGCATATGAACAGGCTGATCTTTTCTAGCTTCAGTTAACAATGGAGGCTGCGCTGCCTCTTCCTCTTTGTATCTACATGTGTGAATTCAGTGTAGATGCTGAAGTTGACAAAAACAGTTTACAAAAAAACACTGCAAACCTGGTTGAACAAAGTAATTTTCTGACTCATTTCAATTAAAGGCTCATCAAACAAACAACGCCCTGTTTGACCAACTGAGGTGAACATTGTCTTTGGTTTCTCCAGCCTTTTGCTGACCTGGAGGGATGTGCAACATCTTCTGGTGAAGACATCCAGACCGGTTCACCTGAAAGCTGATGACTGGAAGACCAATGCTGCAGGACTCAGAGGCACATTGCATTCTAACTCTAATACTTACATAGTACATTTACTGTTTTATACCAAATATACTTTTAACCAAACTGAAGTCTCAGATAATTAAAGAAAGTATCTGTTAGATCTTTGTCTTTGTCTGAGTCCATGTCTTTTCCCACAGTCAGCCACCTGTATGGTTTTGGCCTTGTGGATGCAGAGGCCATGGTGCTCGAGGCTACCAAGTGGAGGACCGTTCCGCCTCAGCACACCTGCAGCCAGATGCCTGTGCGACGCAACAGGTGAGGTGAACTGTAGATAGTAGAAGTCAGAAGTATTTAGCAGAGCTTTCTGCAGAAATGAGAGTTGCTTTTTGCTTCAGATTTCTTTGAGAACAATCAAACAAGGCCTCTCGGTACATCCATTTATCTTGGGCAATTGAATAACATTGAAATTAAAATTAAAATAGCATATGGATGGGATGTCCTATGGTGTAACTTTAACCTCAGTATTTAGTGTGTGGTCACTTGTCCATGTTATGTGTTCGTGTATGTCATGTTTCACTGAAATAATTTTTTGCACTTTGTCTCATCACAAAAAGAAGTAGGGAATTAATTCAGTTACAAAAGGATAAATAACAAGGATACTATTTTGTACTGGTTTTAAAACCTTCCACATCTAATTCACAAGCCCAGCATTTAGTAGAAGACTTTATATATAAATCTTTTAGAACTGCATTCAACAATGTTACAACAATAATTCAACACGTGTACAATTCAGTACTGTATAGACGTCTGATGTACACCCAGGTACATCCATGCTGGTCGAAGTCTGAACAGCAGCCTTACCACCTCGGGGTGTTCAGAAGAACCTGAGCAGCATGTGGATTACCTGGAGCATGTGGTGGTGAAGGTCCTGATTGCCCACCCACGGCGAGGAGACATGGAGATCAACCTCATCTCTCCGTCTGGCACAACGTCACAGCTGCTGGCTAAGAGGTGAGAACCAGACTAGACACTCCATCGCATGCTGCAGGTCCAATATCACATCACATTCTAAGTTCTTCCAAATTCCCCACTGGTGTCTACTGTACCTGGAAACAGTTTGCAGTTAGGGCTGTGGATTACCCCTAGTACGTTGATAATGGCGAGACACACTGCTGTTGAATCTTTTTTCCCATTTCTCTTTCATACATGGGGTCTATTTTCTCTGCTCAAAAAAGTGTGATGTACTTTATGCTTGCAGGCCTATGTTGATGTGGGTTCTCAACATCAACTATATACTCTGTATTCAACTAAATAATAATATAAGTATTTATAATCAATTGTAGTTAATGTTTTTCGAAAATGCCTAAAAAATAGAGGACCCCCCCTGCTTTTATATCTCACAGTGCTGGTTGCAATACTGTCTGTGATTACCAGCTGTATTAGGAACTCATCTTGTTAGTCTCTATGTGTGTAAGGCATCCTGGCAAAATGTGGTGCTGGAGAGACCTACCGTAGTGTTTGCATTTGTGTCTATGTACAGATGTTGTGGCCAATGAAGGGTCTCTCAACCATGCAAGATGCAGTCACTAATCTGAAGAGATGTGTGGTAGAACTCTAACTAAAAGTAGAGTTGGTAGGTGAACATGGTTTAGCCGAGTGGGGATGAAGGTGGACCCTCAAACTTCAATCAAATTGAATGCTAGAGTTGTAATGTGTGTTTGCAACAAGCAAGGGGGACAGAAGTGGGGGGCAGAACAAGTGTGTACCTACCAAATCAAAACATGTTGATGCCATTTCATAGTTAATAGGTACCTATATACCAAGTCTACGGTAAAACTGATCAGCTTTTCACCTTTCTCATATTTCATTTCACCTCACCTACAGGTTGTTCGACAGTTCCAATGAGGGTTTCAGGAACTGGGAATTCATGACGGTTCATTTCTGGGGGGAGAGGTCACAGGGCTTATGGACCCTGGAGATTGTTGACACACCATCAAAGCAACGCAACCCTGAGCTGCTGGGTAAGGTCCAACAGCATGTGCACATTAAGGCATACGTTGAGATGAACAACAATTGAAGCGGGGTTTCTTTATCTAGGGGAACCTAAAAATGCTTCACTATTATTGTTACACTTCACAGGCAACCTAAAAGAATGGACACTGATCCTTTACGGCACATCTCAGAACCCTTACCAGCCCCTCAGTGCTCAACAATCCCGTTCAAGCATGCTGGAGGTCACAGCCCCGGGGGAGACTCCGGAGCTGAAGGAGGAAGATGAGTACAACGGTGAGAAAATCAAAGCGGTGATTTTGTCTACCATCCAAACTGAAATATAATGTTGGATTTTAAAAATGGAGCATGTTTCAGAAAAACAGTTACTAGCTGTTTGATGATGATGGTGGTGTTGATCCTGATCAATGTGGTGCTCCTCAAGGGCCATGCCACAGTGAGTGTGGAGACCAGGGCTGTGACGGACCAGACACCGAACACTGCCTCAACTGCGTCCACTTCAGCTTAGGCAGCCTGAAAAGTGGCAGGTAAGAACTGACCGAAGGAAGTAGAACCAGACGGCTGAATGGCTCAGTATGGTTGTAATTAACTGCGTGTAATGTAAAAATGGTCCCTTTTAATGATAAACTGTGGTCAGTTCCCCTTCAGCTCTACGGCGTATTTTAACTTCTTTCAGCTGATTTTAGTTAGGAGTTGCTACTGCTTCTACTAGAAAAGGGAACAATATTTGGACAAATTATTAATGTTTTGAGTATGTCCTCAACAAAAATATATCATAGGACCCATAGGAAACATATTAAAATGTTAATGTAACATTCTAAATGACCTTTTTGTAATTTTCCAATGTATCCACAAAATAATCCAAATGGAAGGTTCCGCCTCATGTTATTATTGAAAACACCCAACCTGCCGGCCCTGTGCTCCATCCAATCTGACCGAAAGCAGGGGCCAACTTTTGGCTGTGCTCACAAACATACTGTTTATATTAAACACCATAGTGTTATTTGTAAACCTTTTCTCCTGTTCTCATTTGGCCTAAAGAAAACCATATTTTTGCATGTCACGAAAGTTCCTTTTCTCCTGTCATATTGCCATAAAATAATTAACTTCAAACTAAAGGGCTTTTATAACAAAAAGACCATGTTTTAGGAAAATTGCCAATGTTCTTTACACCTGGTTATGAGACGTTTGTCCCCATTATTTTAGTGAATTCTCAATGTTGATGCTACATGAATCTCTTAAAAATCAGTACAGACCCACCCATACCAGCTGGTCCATATTTATTCTGTAAACTAACGTTGTTTTCCCCGTCTTACCTTTGTGTATAGAACATGTGTGAGCCACTGTCCACTTGGACACTATGGAGACATCGCGTCTCGCCGCTGTAGACGCTGCTATAAAGGTTGCGAGGGATGTGTTGGCCTATCAGCCAGCAACTGTCTCTCCTGTCGAAAAGGCCTTTACCTCAATGCACTCAACTCCAGCTGCATCCACACCTGTCCCCAAGGATACTTTGCTGATGAGAGTAAGTTAACACCTCCACACAGCCGAATAAAAATACAAATCTTGATATGTAAGCGTCATGTAGACCAGGGGTTGTCAGCATTTTTGCTTGATTGACATGTATAATGTGATTTTGGGCGTGGTTATTAAAGCACTAAGGAACGAGAGGCTGTACTTTATCGTCCAATAACGTAACAGTTCAGGGGTGTTGTTAGGCCCGACGCTGTGTATCTCATTTCAGTGGTCTAGAGAAAAAATAGTCCTCGTACCTGCATGCAAACAGCATTGGGTCCCGCACCATCTCATTCATTCACATCGCTCATGACGTCCACCATAATTGTCCAGTTGTGAAAGCTCACATTTCCTGAATCCGATCATTTGTGGGATTTCCGGGGTTTTTTTTGGCGATTGCCACCGAGCTAAAAGCTAAAATGTCAACTAACTAAGTAAAAGCTAACCTGTTACTTTGATTGCACAGTGATACGGGACGCTCGGGTCAATGTGAACAGCAACTGTACATTATCACTGAATAATGTTAAATAATGAAAAATGTTTCAAGCTAGTTCCAAAGGTCGTAAACTGGTGTTGACGGACAATTGCTTTTGTTTAAAATACTTGTGTAGGCATGACGGGGCGTACAAAGGGAATAGAGTAGAGTAAGAATAAAATGTACGTTCCATTCTCATAGAAATTGATCTTGCATCACATTCAAAACAATCAATAGAATAACAAAACAAATGGTACCCTCCAGAAATCCTCAGAAAGATCATACAATGTAAGCAGCATCTAAGAAAAATGTCCATGTTACATGCCATGCACACCTACAGACACACACGTCCTCTTTCCAAAACCTTTATTTTATTTCCAACAGAGGGCAAAAACAGCTGAGCCTTGTGCAAGGAGCCCGTTACAAGTCGTTCAGCGTGCGTGCAGGGGGGCGGAGGATCACCTCACACTTGATTGGTTAAGCAGTGTTTTTGAGTGAGAAACCGGAGAGCGTTTGTACTTCGTGCAGCCTGGCACCTCGAGCTGCCCCCCGGAGGACATACTTTGGTACTTCTCATGTAGGAGTTGTCCCTGATGATTTTGTCAGCCGGTCTCAGGGTATGCTAAGTGCTAAAGAGATTTCCACAGGGTGGACCTTGGAGCAGACGTTACCTGGTTCCAGTAGGACTGAGAGGCCACTGAATCAGACTCGAGCCTCCACACTGAAGGACACTTTGGATGGTGGAGCAGGTCAAGCGATAGAGGACTTCCTTACTGGCTCCAAATGACTTTAGTCTCCTGTTGTGCAGCCCCCGGTAGTGCCAAGCCCCATTATCTAGCAGTAAATGGTATAAGGCCTGTGCAGGTTCGCTAATCTTAGTATGCACATTCTGCACAAACTGCATGAAAAGGGACAAGGTGTTGGTTTCCTTTTCTGGTCAAAGTACTACTGACCAATCATGCTTAGGTTGTGTATTTATTACGTAAATAGACCCTGCGCACAGTGATTTAGATGTTTATTGATTTCATTTTAGCATGTAATCTTTGTTGTATTTGTGGTCTGCCACTCTATCCTTGCCTACAAAGTCCCTTTTTGGACTGTAAACAATGTGCAAAGCATTTCAAAAGTGGATGTCTTGGCCTGAATGTCTGTTGGCTACACCAGAGCAACAGAAATATAGCCACCTACCCCCTGAGGCGTATCCGTCGTCATACCAAAAGCTGATGGTTTCCGAGATTGCCGTTTCAGCAGTGGCACAAATGTTCAGAAAATCAGTACATCAGTTTACTGATGCATGTGCATGCTGTGTATGCCAGATCAGAGACAGTGTCTGAAGTGTCATGACACCTGTATGAGATGCCTGAGGTATGGAGACAGATGCACTGCCTGCAGCCAAGGCTACCGGTACGTAAGGACCGTCATATTGACATGTGTATTTTAATCTTTAATCTTTTGTTGTAATGTCATTGATTTTATTGTTTATAGTCTGGCAGGGATGACTTGTGTTCCTGAATGCACCAATGGAACCTTTTTCCATGTGGAAGAGATGACCTGCAGCCCATGCCATTCCTCCTGTAGGACCTGTACGGGTCAGTAGTGTGTTTTGCGGGGATACACTTTCTTCAGTGTCCTTCCAGAATCAGTAGAAATAAAACCTAGTCAAAAGACAAATGCTAAATAAAATGAAACAAGACCTGTGGCTGATAAAGTTCAAAGATTCAGCTATAGGTGTGAATAGATATTTACACGTCTTAACAGAAGACCTGTTTTTTTTGTCCCGGTGACATATTCATCTTCCATTGAGTTTAATATCTGTTTTTCGCAGGGCCTGGTAAGGAGCAGTGTATCCAATGTGCCGAGGGCTTCCTGCAGCAGGAGTGGAGGTGTGTGCAGATCTGTACTCCTGGCTTTTACGCTGCAGAGGCAGCCGGAGTCCCTCACAAGATGTGTCACAGGTGGGTGATTCCTTCTAGTTCCTCCCCGTGTGTGACCGTGTGCATCCATGCGTCTGGGACTGAGTTTGTACATGTGTTCATCTGGATGCATGCTCAACGACCTCTTTTTGTTTTCTGTGACTCACACTTTCTTATAACAACTTTTTTATAGCATGTTCAATACTGCCATTGACTTCCTGCTTCTTCTTCGCTCACAACTCTTAACCGGCCAGGTGATAACACAGCTGAAAACCGCAGCTTCTCTTCATCTCTGCACCCACGGACAATGGGGGGGCGGACGGAACACTTTGCACACTGTATTTGTTTTCCATGGTGAGTTTGGCTAACGACTAACAAAACTACCAGCACACACACTGCTGAATAGCTCTTGGCCCCTGCTCTGCGGCTCGCTTTCATTACTCCTTTTTTTGGACGGTGTGTTTGGCAAACTGCTAATAGCTAATCGGCTGGTTACTTCAGCGCCATCAAACTGTTGCTAATTGGTAAGTCAGCTTGCTGAGTTCAACCTCGCGTTTTGGACATCACACCGCTTCTTTTTTAGTTTGAATGAAGTCTGTTTGGCTGTTTTTCTTTTCATCGAGACCTGCACAATTTGGAGTTTACCTTTCTAGCTTTGAAATGTTTGAGCCGAAAATTAGGACAAGTCGCTATATTATTAGGCGCAACAGTTTAAATTAACAGAATAATCCCAAACTTTCTTCTATTAGAATAACATTTGGAATGTAGACGTTTATGGTGCAAATTATAAGGATCATACTTTACTTATCGACTAATCCCAAGTAAACTCTGCATCATAGTAAATGAACAAATTGTTTTCACTCATCCCTCTTTGTCCCCAAAGGTGTGAGGAAAGCTGTCTGGGCTGCAGTGGCCCCGGAAAAACTTGCACCAAATGCAAAGAGGGTTACAATCTTGTTGGGAGGACTTGTATTATCAATGCCTCCTGTAATAATGGTGAGTTTTTATTTTATGTGGAGAACCTCCCCCATCATTCGTTTGATGCGTTTGTTGACTTCCTTAACAGCCAGACCCCTGTTTTGAGTTCTGATGACGAGCTGCTCATCTGATTCTAAATGTTTCAGAACTTCTATTATGTTAAACTCTTCTGTCACGATGATTTAGGACAGAGTGCAGTGTATTGAAAGAAAAAAAAAAATGTTTTGTTTTCATCTGTTTGAGCTGATTCTCCTCCCCGTGTGTCTGTCAGCTGATGAGGCGTTCTGTGAGATGGTCAAATCCAACCGTCTCTGTGAGAAGAGGCTTTATCGCCAGTTCTGCTGCCGCACCTGTCCGATGAACGGATGAGCAGCCAACCGTCCGTCGGTACCTCTTTGTCTTACTCTAAATCTGCCATAAAAGATACGGAAGTGTCATTGTTTTGTCAAATCAATTTTATCCCCAAACGTTGAATGTGTACAAATATTCTGCTAGAAAAATGAATGGTATTGTATATGTACAAAACAGCATTATAATGAATGGACTTTCCGTGTTGTTTACTGCTTTGACTGCTTTCAAAGATGGTAAAAAGAAATGGAGCTGACACTGACAGTTTCTTTTTTCATGCTTAATATTTTCATTGTTATTAACAATATTTAGCTCAGTTAAAATGTAATAATAAAGCACACTGAGCTTTTCAAAACTGAACGTTCTGCCTCTTCTATAGACTCTGACCATTGCTTTATTAAATCACGATGCTTTTTTGTTTTTACTGGCCGACATGCTTCAATGTTCTGTACAATCACACTGCTCTTACCAGCATCATATCAATCAGCAGCCGGCAGCTGTTTTTATTTAAAAATAAGCCTTCGGTGTTGCTGAAAATGTTGTAATTAATGGGCCTTGCACATATTTGGGTGGCAGAAGTCTGGATGAGGCAAACCTCTTCACGAAGCGTTGGTACCAGCGTTATTTACCAGCACCACCATCACAATGCCAACGTAAAGTCACTCAGGAGCCTTTGTGTGGAGACAGGTTTAGGGACGGGACGGGACAAACACTGGACTTTCACCCAGGTGACTTGTGCTTTGTGTGAAACCAAAAGCCAATGTAAAGTTATTTTAAATTACACATTTCCTAAGAAGTAACGAAACAAAGTTATTTTAACCCAAACTAATCTTTTTCAATTTCTCAGGCTATAAAAGAAGTTAAGCTACAAATGTACTTTTTAAAAACCAAACCATAATTTGGTTTTGAAAAATCTGCTATGTTTACATGTTTTAGGCACTCTCTACAAAGTCTCTCTAATGCTGGACGGAGACAGAGTACAAATGTCCTTCCATACATCGCCAAGAATGAATTTAGATTTGTCTTTTTTCTGATCAATCTGCTGGCTCTGTCACGCCCTAATTGTGTTCACCTGTTTTCACCTGTTTTTCCCCTGTCTCCTCCCACACCAGGTGTTCCCTGTTTGTCAATTATCCCTTGGGCATATAACCTGTGTCTTCTCCCTGTTCTTGTTGCCAGTTCGTCTTGTGTGTTTCACCAGGTCTTACCAGCGTTGTATCCCCGTAGTTTCCAGTCGATTCTTGAGATTCCCCGTGTACTGACCCCTGCCTGCCTCCGACAACGACACGGCCTGCCACCTCTGAACCCCTGATCTCCCGTGCACCGAACTCCTGCCTGCCTCCGACAACGACACTGCCTGCCCGAATTCCTCTTCATTAAACCGTATTCCTCATATCTGCGTTTGGGTCTCTGTCTGAGTTGTGATAGTACGAACTGGCCATGACAGACCCAGCAGAACCTGACTCCCTCCGGAATGCCGTCGCTCTTCAGGAAGCTGCTATAGGAAGGCACGAAGACATCCCACAACGGGTCATGGAGGGACTTCAAAGCCTCTCTGACCACCACGATCGGACATATCAATCCCTGATGGAGCAGTTTCGTGGGATGTCTATGGGACAGCAAACTACAGCGGCCCCTGCCCCAGACCAAGGTGGCCTCGCAGCCAGTGCGGCCTTGCCGGTAACCAACACGGCCCCTCGGGAACCCAACTTACCACCCCCTGAGCGCTATTCTGGAGACCCGAGTACCTGTCGTTCGTTCCTCTCCAAGTGCTCCCTGATGTCTGAGTTGTGATAGGCTCAGAACATCCAATGCTGTTGTCTTGACACTGCTGACATCTAGTGAAACGCGAACAAAATGAGTGTCAAACATGTCTTTGTCCCTCTATCATTTTTATTCTGTATTTTATCAGACATCGTAATGTTTAAATCCACATCAACCATAGACTTGATATGTAATGTTGAGAATGACGAAAATATTACTATTGTGTTGGTAAACAGAGTAGCAAATTCCTGTCAAAATTTCTTAAGTGAAAATGATGTTTTGTGTTTAAGTCTAAACATTAACATCGTCTTACAATGCAGTATTCCATAATGTTACGTTACTTGACTTGTGGTGCTTATTACATATTTCACTCTTCCGGTCATCGAGCTAAACCAGCTAACTGCTCCTTTGACCACTCGCAGTTGCTAGGCAACATAAAACAAGCCACACACCCTGCTAGCGGTGCTGTGCCCGCCCACTCTACCTCTGATTGGCTCATACTCGTTGCCGTCGTTGTTTGGAGTGGTTAAATTAAGATTTGAGGGGATCGATTGGTTCGAGTTCAGGTGATCGACGAGAGAGTAAGGCGGGTCAGAACTTTTCCTCCTGGGAAAAAGACACAAAACACTTCGGACAAACATGATGAAGAACAAGCAACGTTCAGGTCGGTACGTCGTAGTTAAAACGTTACAGGTGTAAACAACAGTTTCAACGATAAACGTAGACATATTGATTTCAGCGTTAGTTGGACGTTGTGTGCTTGACATATCTGACGTGGGAGTGATTTGAGTAACAGGGCGTCTTGTCCCTGCTCCTGGTTGTCCCTCTGTCCATCCTGTCTCATCAGAGCCTGTAGTGCCAGACGTCCACAAGACGATCAAAGCTGCGTTTGAAGCGTTTGACTATGAGTCAAACAACAGAGTGGATGTCAGGTGAGCTCTCGTCACAACTCAACTTCCAACACAGTGAATATGAAGAAAGCGTCCGCAATGTTACACTGAGCAGATTGGATGAAACAGGTCAAGTCTGTGTTTTCTAGAAATAACGATGACTTTGTTTCTTAGGGAGATCGGCACCATCATCTATTCCCTGGGATGCTTCCCCACACAGGCAGACCTACATGATAAAAATAGCCGAGGTAAGACCGCTCTTGTTAAATGAATAATGTCTACTCCACCATATCTTTGTTTTTAAAAATGTTCTTTTTGTTTCAATGCGGCTCCATCTAACGTGATTAGATTCTCCTGTTCAGGTTGAGGACCAAACTGGATGCATCAATTTGGAAAAGTTCCTCCCAGCCATGACCAAAGTTCTGATGGAGCACAAGTAAGTGGTTCTATTATCTCTTATTTAAACTCGTTCCTGGTGCCAGCCTTCTGGTTCCATATATCAAACTGACTTAATTAAGATGCTGAATGCTGAGGTTGAGGAGAAGGGCCATGAGGATACAAATAGGTGCTTGTGTTGAAGCAAATTAATGCAGGAATGTTACAGCTGGAGCAAATGAATAACCTGACACTGTAACATTTTTGGAGTGATTTTATATATGGAAGATATAGTGAGGTAGTTATTGTTGTATTTTGCTAAATATATGTGTGATGTCAAATTCTAAAAAGGCCACCACAGTACAACCATTACTTAATCAGATGAGCGCAGTACAGTTCAGTCTGTGGTGTGAACTGGGCCTGGACCTTTCCGGTAGATTCTATGTGGATTCCATCACATTGCTCAGTGTTTTTAGGATGTCGTCCCATAAACACCATCTACTATGCTGCTGACACACTAACGGACAGACACATATAGCAATGACGTGTGTGTGTGTTTGTGTGTTAGGTTCCCTTCTGTCCCAGAGGACCTGCTGCTTCAGGCCTTTGAGGTGAGATAAACTGTCTCCTCATATTCTACCCTTCCATATCCCAGTGTTGTAGTACCAGTGACTGGTACTTGTGTTTCCAGGTCCTGGACAAGGAAAATAAAGGGTACCTGGAGCCTGAGCAGCTGGCAAAGTACATGACACAGGAAGGTAAAGCAGGAGCTTTCAGTTCTCACTTTGTGATGTTTCATGTGTGTTTTGAAATCAAACCGTTTCTTTTTATATTTTGTGCGTCTAACATTACTCGTTGTGATAAAACCAGGTGAGCTCTTCACTCAGGAGGAGATGGATGAGATGCTGACAGCACTCGCTGACCACGAGAACAACCGTGTCTATTACAAAGACTTGCTCAACCAGTGGACCATTGACCCTGACATGTAGACGTTGTGTGTGTTCATGTCTGCATTATTTTAAGCTTTAGTTCTGATAAATAAATGTTAGTATCTCAATCACGTTTCTCCATAAATACCTTTTATTTCACATGAAACATAATTTGTGCTCAATTTGGCAGATTTAGGAAAATGTATCAATGCAGCCCTCGTTCATCGTCAAGTTTCATCCTTCCATCTATTTGTATATTGTAGCCAAGCTAATTTTTCTTGAAACGTAAGTGTGGGGGGAATGTCTTCCGCGGCACAGCAGGGGGGTAATGTTGTCAACCTGATCAGTGATTGTAGATTGAGTACTGTGACGTCATGAGAGGCTACACAGCTCTCAGCGGGACAGTTCTAGTGCGATGACACCAAGGTCAAATATAAACAAGGATTTTTAAAAGTTCTAACAGAAACAGCGGTCTAAATTCAAAAGTGTATCCAAGGCTCAGGTTGATCTTCAGCCATCAAACTTAAACAAAGCCTCTTCTTGGTGGTGAAATTGTTATCCCGATTCCCTCAGGTAAGTAAACAGTCGTACTACTACTACAGCGGCAGCCCGCGGCCAATCTAACAGTAAATTCTTCAAACGTCACGTAAGTATCTCCAATGTTCAGTATCTCCAGCCTTCCTCGTGGAAATCCTACTGGAGGGGTCTGGTCCTTGGCAGAGGGCCCAACCTGTGGCCTGTCTCTCCAACCCCACACACCTCCACCACTACGTCTCTAACCCTTAAAAAGCCCTTCAGGTTATCAGACCCTGATGGGTCTCAGGTGTGCGGCAATGTCGTGAATTGAGGGGTGGAGTTCCTGACTCCACCACCAGGTGGAGCCATAGCTGTTCATGGTTACAGCCATCGCATGGGAATGTAGCTTCCAGGATACAGTCAGTTTGAAGATACTAAAGATACTTTGAGAAAACCCCTTTGATTCCTTTTTTAATTAAAGTTGAGTATGTAACTGCATATATGTCCTGGAGCTGTAGGCCGAATGTTTTAGTGGAGAGCCTCTTATGTCCTCATTAAGGAAAATGCAGTATCATACAGTCATTGTTGTAGCTTCACAGTAAATATAAAGATGTCAAATAACACACAGTTAGTGAAACCTGACACTCAAGGAGCAAAACAGAAGCCCAGACCTGGGGGGTATTCCAGAAAGGAGGTTTAACAAACTCTGAGTCTATCCCTGAACGCCGAGTTGACTTACTCTGAGACGGGAAACTCTGAGTATCCGGTTCCAGAACAGCTGATCTGCATTAGTTCAATCAACTCTGAGTATGTTCACCTTGAGTTAAGCGCGTGCATGACGATTATAAAAAGCCATCATCAATGGAGCCCCGATACCACGAGTCACCATGACAACAGAAAATAAAAGAGCAACACTTACACTTACAGAAACATTTTTATTTTATACCTTTTGGGGTCATTTAAAATGTGACGCTGCAGCCTACACCAACACTCATTAAAATACTAATTAAAAAACAACGAAACATTGAGTTCTGCTCAGCCAACAGAAAGAAGGCAGAGGCCCGAAAAAAATCAGGACATTTCGAAATGAGAATCGCTAAGTACTTTGTAGCTCTGCCATACTCTAATGAGAAGCACAACAGTACCATACATGCAAAAATACTGAAATTGTTACTTTACAGAATTGCTAGACGTCCAGATGTTGGGGTCAGAGGAAGAATGTTCATTCCAGAGCAAGAGACCCACATGGTGAACATGGTGATTGCCAATAATGTAATAAGACTGCGCGAAATACAGCAGCGCATAATTGACAATGACACCATCTTTCAAAATATACACAGTGTAAGCATTTCTGCACTAAGTCCTGTACTTGCGCGCCACAGAATAAGAATGAAGCAAATTTACAGAGTTCCTTTCGAGAGAAACACAGAACGTGTAAAGCAACAAATAGCCAATAATTACAAAAAATGTGCTTAAGCAATCAGAAAAAACTGTAATCATACTACAGGAACTCTATGGCTGTTCTGAGTCATATGTGGCTTTGCAGGAAGCATTCTTTTCTCGTAAGCGACATGAAGGGGAAACGTTACTTGAATTTTCCCTCGCTCTCATGAGCCTAATGGAAAGGGTGAAGCAGTGTGCACCAGCTGGAATGCTCAATGCAGACTGTCTATTGCGGGATCAGTTTGTTGAGCAGGTTTTAGACAGCACCCTGAGGCGAGAGCTTAAACAGTTTGTTCGTCATCAACCTGCAGCTACCTTGCTTGACGTCAGAGGGGAATCAATTCGGTGGGAGCGCGATGGTCTGCCCAGCGCCTTCAGAGGCCGTAGTAACTCAGTCCCTTCCATCAGTGGCATTCAGTATGGAGTTCAGGGTGCTCATTCTGTTGCATGTGTCCCTCCGTCCTCAGAAATGGTAGAGCTGAAGTAATTGTTGAGGCTGCAACAAGAGCAGCTTAACCAGTTAACCCAGACCCTCGCTCATATGCAGTGCCCTCATGCTGGTAGTCATTCAGCCCATCGTTGGCCCAAACTGTGTCACCGCTGTCAGAGACCAGGCCATTTTGCCAGAGACTGTGATGGTGTGCATAATTCCCGCCCCCAGTTCTCTTCACCAGATATCCGGTCGCCTGCTAGGCAAGCAGAACCCAACCCGGCTCCGGAAAACTAGCACCCACCAAACTGCAGAGCCACAGTTTGGGTGGGGCCCTTCATGGCTCACGCCCTGTGTCGGGTGGGTTAGTTCAAGGCCCCAGACTGGTGTCGTCCTGTTCCTATTTAGATGTCTAGTTTAGTTACATGTCCTCATGTCCCATGGGATGTCATGGGGCATGAGGTCCCATGACCAAACATGGCACCTCAAGGTGCCGTGTTTGATTGACACCGGCTCTATGGTTTCTACTATTACAGAGAGCTTCTTTCAAAATATTTCGAACCTTTGGGTCAGGAGCGGCTCAAAGCCTGTCGTTGGATACAGCTAAGGGCAGCTAATGGTTTGAGCATCCCTTACCTGGGCTATTTGGAGCTCGATGTTAAGTTGTACGGTAAACTAGTTTCACTGTGTGGTGTCTTGGTGGTAAAGGACCCCCCTGGTAATGCTTCTCTTCAGGCCCCTGGTGTGTTGGGAATGAATGTGATTCAGAAATGTTACCAAGAGCTCTTTGTGCAGCATGGTTTGTCCCTGTTTAATCTGCCCTCTGTCACACAGGCCCCACAACCTGTCACGCCGGCATTACAGAAGTGCCATCAGGCAGACCCCCCAGGAGCTGACTTGGATGGCAAAGGATAGAGGTAGGCGTGCCTGTCATATTTCAGGTGGTGTGATGCAGATAGTAGCAGCTACATGCTCAGGGCAGGGCACTGATAGCACAGTGTTGTTTGAGCCCCTTGATTCTGGTTTACCTGCAGGTTTGTTGGCTTCTCCATCTGTGGTGAGGGTAGTTAGAGGTACAGCATACATACCCATTGTGAATGTTGTCTCTGTAGAGGTACTGCTGTACCCACGCACTGTTCTTGGCACTTTACAACAAGTGAATGTTGTCAGCCTCCCTGCAGGAATCGCAGTCCCATCCACTGTAGCCACCGTAGCTTCTCACACCACCTTACCTGCAGTGCCGGACCAGATTGAGGGTTTAGATCTGTCTTCTTTCCCCCGAAGAGCAAGGTCAGGTGAGGTCTCTCCTTAGTAAGTACAGTCCTATTTTCTCTGCTCATGACGGCGATTTAGGCTGCACTAACCTCATCTCTCACAATATTCCTCTGTTAGACGAGATCCTCGTTACGCAGCGCTACAGGAGTGTTTCCCCTTCTGATTATGAGGCTGTCAAAGAACACATTAATCAGCTTCTTTCTGCACAGGTGATTAGAGAAGGTTGTAGCCCCTATCCCTCCCCCATTGTGCTTGAGAAGAAGAAGGAGGGAGCCTGCGTATGTGTGTCGATTACCGGCAGCTAAACAGCAAGACCAGGAAAGATGCGTTCCCGCTGCCACACATTGAGGAGTCGTTGGATTCCTTGACAGGTGCACGCTGGTTCTCTACCATGGACCTGGCCAGTGGGTACAATCAGGTTGAGGTCACGGAGAAGGACCGGCCTAAGACGGCATTCTGTACACCATTCGGCCTGTTTGAGTGGAACCGTATGCCGTTCGGACTCTGAAACGCACCTGGCCCTTTTCAAAGATTAATGCAGAGGATCTTTGGTGATGAACAAGGTCTGTCACCTTGATGACATTGTCGTGTTCTCTTCTACTGTAGAGCAGCATCTTCAGCGGCTTGACGTGGTACTATCTCGGCTGCAACAGGAGAGACTCAAGGCCAAGCTCTCCAAATGCACCTTTAGTTTATCGTCGGGACAACGATACAAAGAGGGGGGGTAGATTGTAGCAGGATGACTGCTCTTTGTCCATGCGCGGTCTTGTCCCTTTCATTGTCTGCCATACAAGAAGGGATCGGTAGTTCTGCTCTCTCTCTCTGGCGACGGGGGGCATACCTTTCCTCTTCCGGGTTGCCTGGCTGCAGGTTTTGCAGACGCTCAGCACTCTGGTGTTGCGCAAAATTGAGTTCCGCCGTGCAGGTACGTTATAATTAATTGCATGCATCATGTACAGATGAAACAGTTGTGCAAATTGCCATTTGAAAAAAATTCAGAGAGTGAAAAACCTGCGTCATGAAAATGTTCAGGTAAGTATAGAAATGTACACTTTTGGTGGGTTTTTCACTGGGTGTGTTCAATGTGGATACAGTACAGTTAGAGATGTTTTTTTGTTCAAACAAATTACTACAGTATTGACTGTATATGTAAAGTGCAAAGGCACTTTACACAAAACCTACATGTACATTGATACATCAAAAGACCTATATGTATTACAGTAGGCCTACTGTAAACTACAATGTGCTATGTTCTGTTTTTGGTCTTTCATTTTGCAAAAGATTTGAGGTGTTCTGCTACTTGTGTGTCTAGTTGTGTGAATCGTGTGTTGTGTTTTGACAACTTGAGCCCTGTTTTCAAAATTGTGCTTAAGCAATTGGAAAAAGAGGGACTAAAATAGCTTGTGCTTTCTAGAGAACAACATTCCTTTTGTAGATCATGACATCAGCCGTCTGAGGTCGTTGTCCTAAAAATAACATGTTGCCGCCTTTCCAGAGAGTTTCACAGGTCTGATTAACTGTCACAGTTTTGTCAGTGTGGAACACTGACGCATGCTCAAAAGATTCTGAGGCATGTCGATGTGTGCAATGCTAAAACGTCCTAGGGACTTTCTTACATTTGAGATTGTGGGAAATTCCAGTTGACTAAGGTTCAAGCGAAAACATCCAACTATTTAAACCACCGCACCTCTCGTCTACAATGTATATCATATACAGTAGGCAACTTTGGGTATTCATCATGTTCATCCTCTCCCATTAAACACAAAGAACCGCTAGGGCAGCGGGATTGTTGTTTGTTTACAGATATTTGGTCATAACCTAAAAAATCAACAGGGCCAAAAAATACATGTTGACCAGGTCACTGAGCCGTAACATTTCCTTCTGAGGCAGAGAGATCACAGCGTAGCGCTGATTGTCCTCTGGAAAACAACACATGCCAACATTGACGGATCACGTTCATCCCTAATAACCCTGGCCAGTCTGTGGGGCAATGATCTTTTACAATAATTACCCCGCAACCTTTTATGTCCGCCCTACCAATCTTTAGGTCCAGCTGAGCATAGCCTAGGTAGGGAATAAAGCGTTCATTAACAGTACCATACAGTCAGAAAGGAGGAGGCGTCGCTTAAGCGAATGCCATGACCCCCAAAGTGAAGAGCGAAGAAGCTTTGAGTGAGCATCGTCACTTGCGAACCTATGTCTAATAGGCAGGGGACCATAATGCCTTCCATTTCTACTTCAACCATGGGACTGTCTCCAGATAACTGAGCCTGTTCAATGTGGGTGTGACTATTTCCAGCTGGGTGGCTCTCCAGACTGCATTTCTAGTTTAAAGGCTGATGGCTTTCACTGTCTTGCACTACAATGGTGCAGACTGTGCCCCGTTTAGTTCCTTCTGAAGTTGACATACATGTGTGTTTCTAATTGCAGCCGTCCCAGGGTGTCCAACCCAAAAACAAAATCAGTAGGATTCATCCTCTTGGAACCAAGACAGTCTGTGAGGAATGACTTAGTTCCATGCAATGGTTATAGAGACAGTTTGGTAGAGATTGACGGAAAGACATTACCGTTCAGGCACATTTGCCTAATTGTGAACAAACATGAGCCGGGTTGATCATTCCCATGTCACTGGAAAGGTTTGCATATTGGCAGGAGTCTTCGGTAAGAACTTTTAAAAAACTAAGCTTCTTCAGCCAGCGATTGAACTGTTATTTCTGTAGATATGATATCTTATTTCAAGCAAAGTCGCAACTAATGCAGACTTACGGGAAGTGAAAAGGGCTCAACATTTACGAGACAGCCCACAATTTACATGGGCAGAGCAAGCTATGTTGAAAACAAGCAGTTCATTAGTGAACACACAGGTTTGCATGGCATGTTGTTTTATTATCAAATGCACATTTCCTCTCTAACAATACTGTTAAAGTACAAAGACGTTATTTACATTTGTGGTCACCATTCATAAACAAGTATGCGTACAAATACATAAGGCAAGACACTCATTCACCACATCTAATAGAAATAACTCCTTAATTGTATCTAAATGTTAACATAAGTATCGTATAAATATATATATTTTAACTTTATACATGATTTATGATAATGACTGAGTGAGAATGACCCTTCAATCGACTCTGAGTATGTTCACCTTGAGTTAAGCGCGTGCATGACGATTATAAAAAGCCATCATCAATGGAGCCCCGATACCACGAGTCACCATGACAACAGAAAATAAAAGAGCAACACTTACACTTACAGAAACATTTTTATTTTATACCTTTCGAGGTCATTTAAAATGTAACGCTGCAGCCTACACCAACACTCATTAAAATACTACGAATGTTACAACGAAACATTGAGTTCTGCTCAGCCAACAGAAAGAAGGCAGAGGCCCGAAAAACATTAGGACATTTCGAAATGAGAATCGCTAAGTACTTTGTAGCACTGCCATATTCTAATGAGAAGCACAACAGTACCATACATGCAAAAATACTGAAATTGTTACTTTACAGAATTGCTAGACGTCCAGATGTTGGGGTCAGAGGAAGAATGTTCACTCCAGAGCAAGAGACCCCTATAGTGAACATGGTGATTGCCAATAATGCAATAAGACTGCGCTCAATACAGCAGCGCATAATTGACAATGACACCATCTTTCAAAATATACACAGTGTAAGCATTTCTGCACTAAGTCCTGTACTTGCGCGCCACAGAATAAGAATGAAGCAAATGTACAGAGTTCCTTTCGAGAGAAACACAGAACGTGTAAAGCAACAAATAGCCAATAGTTACAAAAAACATGCTTAAGCAATCAGAAAAAACTGTAATCACTATACAGGAACTCTATGGCTGTTCTGAGTAATATGTGGCTTTTCAGGAAGCATTCTTTTCTCGTAAGCAACATGAAGGGGAAACGTTACTTGAATTTTCCCTCGCTCTCATGAGCCTTATGGAAAGGGTGAAGCAGTGTGCACCAGCTGGAATGCTCAATGCAGACTGTCTATTGCGGGATCAGTTTGTTGAGCAGGTTTTAGACAGCACCCTGAGGCGAGAGCTTAAACAGTTTGTTCGTCATCAACCTGCAGCTACCTTGCTCGACGTCAGAGGGGAATCAATTCGGTGGGAGCGCGATGGTCTGCCCAGCGCCTTCAGAGGCCGTAGTAACTCAGTCCCTTCCATCAGTGGCATTCAGTATGGAGTTCAGGGTGCTCATTCTGTTGCATGTGTCCCTACGTCTTCAGAAATGGTAGAGCTGAAGTAATTGTTGAGGCTATATTTTAACTTTATACATGATTTATGATAATGACTGAGTGAGAATGACCTTCCACTGCACAAAGCATCCTGTCCACATTAACAGGGCGGTTTATGTGCTCAGGGCTGCATGTGGTGCAGTTGTAAGTTGACGTAGATGGGCCAGTTCTCCATCTGGGAGATCAACCACTTGGGGGGGTCATCGTCCTCCATCCGCTCCTCAGCCTCCTCCTCCTCACTTGATCCATCCTCTCCATCTGAGCTTCTCCTCTCTGTGTGGCACTCGTGACACACCTGCTGGGCCTCCTCCGTCGTCCTGGTCGAGGAGTTTGAGTGGCACCCGATGCAGATCCTCCAGCACTTAGTCGGGTGGATGTGTTGGATTACCGCTCGGGTCTTGGAGCATGCGGCGCAGACCAGGAAGCCACATTTCCGGCAGTGGTGTCGACGCTGGGTCACGGAGAACCTGTCGAAGCAGCGCATGCAGATCGCGGAGGCAGAGTCGGGGATCCAGGTGTTGGCAAAGTGGGAGCTAGTCCGGCAGCCCCTGTTCTGCAGCAGAATGGACCGGCAGTCCTCGATTTGCTGGATCCAGGCCCGCTTCTCCTCCTGGGAGGCGGCTGCCACGTAGAAGGACTTGCGTGGCGTACGGATCAGCCACTGGTTCTTTATTGATAATTCGTTCTCTAGGTCCTCAAGCTGGCTGTCCTCTGAAAATAAAAAAATGTTATGTCACATGTAATATGTATGGAGCCATATAGCAAAAAATCAAATTGAAATGGATTTAAGAGGAAAGTCACTTTTAGAAAAACCATGGTAAAAAACTAAAAACCCTGAAATATGATTTTATTTCAGTTTCAACTCAAAATGTAATGCAATACCAGCCCCATGTAACCATTTAGCATATCTTACATTTGTTAATATAATTGAACATATTTTTTCATCAAGATGTTTTAACATTATTGCGTGCAGTTTATTTTATGTTGAAAAATATAGTAAAAAATCACTTTCAAGTTGACATTAAATGCACGTTAACAGCTAAACTATATTTGAACAATGAGTTGCAACGGTTACATCATGTGTTCCAAATAACCAGTTTGGCAAGACTTTTGTGAGTATTCTGCAGTTTTGTGGCTCACCCAGGGGGATGATCACCTGCTTCCTGTGCCAACAAAAGATGATGCTGCCGTACACCAGCAGGTCGTTGAACAGGAAGAACCTTCTGGGCTGTGGCCCCTTGCGGGTCATCTTCACCAGCCGACCCTCTCCCAGCAGAAACCGACCCGGTTCGTACAGCGGCTTCCCCGACGGCCCGAACGAGTTCTCCACGGCGCGGATCCGCTCGCGGTTGTCCTGCGTAAACAAGAACCATTTCCCATCCGTATCCATTTGTGTTCAGATGACAAGTCAGCACGAGCCGTTCGTTAGTGCGTTGTTGTTGTTGTTGTTGTTGTTGCGCATAAAGTCCCGCTGCTGAGACGCTGTCCTGGGATCGTGCAGTCTGCGGCGCACGGGCGCTTCTTTTATGTGCTGGTGACGTGGGAGTCGCCCAAGGGAGTTGGAGCTTTAGACAAACCCATGTGAGCAGAGAAGGCGTCACCAATCTATTTCCCTCCCAGGAAAGTTATTTATGGAAATATCCACCTCAGGTTTTCAACCATCACCAACCTTTATTTATAGTTTTATTCATAATAGTTGTATTAAATATAGAAATGACAGAGGTTACACATTGATAAATAATAACCGTTTGGTGGCCACAACATACAGTATATCATTATATTGTTATGCGGCAAACAAAATTAAAAAGTCAATAAAATTTCATAGGATAGAATAAGTATGTCATAGAACAGCGTGCTCTTCAGTGTTTCCCTAGGTTTACACCTTCAGGGGGACATTTTTTTCAGTGTGAAACTGCCGTGGTGGAAAAATAACAAATTAAATACATTGCATTGGAGACTAGAAAGTTGCACTCGGCTTCTTCTTAAACATAGAAGACAATATGTGATAGTCAGGGGCAAAGGCTAATAGTAAAACATGTTTAGTGGCCACAAAATATATTTGGAAGACTCATTAAAAGAGGAATCTGAAATCGTATAGTGGTTTTAACAAAGCGACAAACTGCTTTCCCTTTTTTAAAATTTTGACTATTAAAGTCCCATTTTGTTTCCAAGTCTGCGTTTGAGTCTTGCCTCCACCTACCCATTGCGTGACAGAATGACACGACCACGTGAGGACTCAACAGATCCTTTGCCAGATTACAGACTCGATTACCAGGACGTGAGGAGTCCATTTTGGCAACGCAAGACTAACCTCATTTTTGGACCCAGGAGCTATCAAAGAGCTTGTCTCGAGCTCCGGGACCTCCTCAACCCCAAGAGAAGGAGCCTGGCAAGAGGCAGTAGCATATTCCCGTTCCCACTGGGCCGCAGCGATCTCCCGTTCCCGCTGGGCCGCAGCGCACTGCCTTCGATTTCTTCAAATTGTTTATTTAAAATATGTCTTTAGATATCTTCGTATATATATATATATATTCTGTGTTTTTTTATTGAAAATTATCTGCATTTAAACTTGAAACACAAAGACACTTTTTAACCCTTTCTAAAAAGAAAAAACAGACTGACTTCATGGCACAGAGTCAGTCAGTGGGGGACCGGCCTCTGTTGATGAGCGACGGGAAGAAACTGTGGCGGGAGGTCTTAGTCCTGATGGACCTCAGCCTCCTTCCAGATGGGAGGAGCACAAACAGTTTTTGTCCGAGCTGAGAGGGGTCGGCTACGATCTTTTTAGCTCGCTTCAGGGTCCTGGAAGCGAGCGGCAGATAAAGGGACGGCAGATTGCAGCCGATCACCCTCTCTGCAGAGCGAATTACACACTGCAGTCTGCCCTTGTCCTTGGCTGTGGCTGCAGCGTACCAGACGGTGATGGAGGAGCAGAGGATGGACTCGATGATGGCTGTGTAGAAGTGGACCATCATCGTCTTTGGCAGGTTGAATTTCTTCAGCTGCCTCAGGAAGAACAACCTCTGCTGAGCCTTCTTGGTAATGGAGCTGATGTTCAGGTCCTGGGTGATGATGGAGCCCAGGAAACGGAAGGAATCCACAGTGGTGACAGGGGAGTTACACAGGGTGATGGGGGAGGGTGGGACTCTGTTCCTCCTGAAATCCACAACCATCTCCACTGTCTTCAGAGCGTTAAGCTCCAGGTTGTTCTGGCTGCACCACGACACCAGATGGTCAGACTCCCACCTGTAGGCAGACTCGTCCCCACCAGAGATCAGTCCAATGAGGGTGGTGTCATCTGCAAACTTCAGGAGCTTGACGGACTGGTGACTGGAGGTGCAGCTGTTGGTGTACAGGGAGAAGAGCAGAGGGGAAAGAACGCAGCCTTGGGGGGAACCGGTGCTGATGGTCCGGGAGGCTGAGACATGTTTCCCCAGCTTCACATGCTGCTTCCTGTCGGACATCCATACGCACGCTCCTCCAGCACCACAAACACTCCCAGAACGGGAGTCAAACCTGACATGTTGGATATAAAGAAGGAAACTCTACATTTACTGGCTTTTGCTTCTGGTTCCAACTGTTAGCAGGAAGTCGAAACAAGGAACAAATAGGTTAAAGTGAGACCGCGATTTCACTACTTGGCGCAGTGTACGAGGCGTACTTCCCAGTGGTGTAGTCTTCCCCCGTGTTCTTAGTCATTACCTTACTGGAGTCAGCTTGTGTTGCTTTAGAATGAAATTAAATGCGTCCGGTAGTAAGCAAGGCTCGCTAACTAGCATTAGTTTTGGTTAAGCGCGTGCTTAAAGCGATGGCACGCGATTGACTGGTACTGCCTTCAGACGGGGTGAACTTATGAATTAGAACGTTCTGTCACAACAATGTTGTTGTGGTATTGTTCAATGTTACCTATAACAGTTGATTGACCTGTAGGTTAAACTAATAGAAAGCCCTAGGTTGGTAGTCTGGGGACCAACAGGATGAGGGAGTGTGGGGTGTGGGGGTAGGTTACGGAGTGAGCGGGGAAATAAAGATACAGCCGCAACTACCGTCAACCGTAGTTCACAGTCTGTCTTACACGCATTATTAAGCAAACTTGACATCGCGTCAGAAGTGCTGTGTAGCTAAAGCAGGATATGTAAAAGTTGTACTACAGTACTTGGAAGTTTGTTAATTTGTTGAAGTGTTTTCCTATTTGCCGTTTGTCAGGGTTTTTGGACTGAATTACCCTGAAGGACCATGTGGGGTGCTCAGTGATCCAGTTTATGTCTGTCACCTGTCACATGTGTGTGTGGTCTTGATTGTTCTCATTGCGTTCACCTGTGCCTTGTTTTCTAGCCTTTAAAAGGCCAACTGAGTTTCTTTGTGTTTGCCGAGTCTTGGAGCTTGCCACCTAGAGCTGAGCCACGTGAGATTCTTGATGCCATACCTCTGTTAATCCTTTTTGGTTTTTTAGATATTTTGTTGCCTCTTTTTTTGGGACACCCTTAGTTATCTTGTTAAATGTCCAGACCTTGTTTTTAGTAGTGATGGCAAAGTGAAGCTTTCTGAACCGGTGAAGCTTTCCAGCCAATTGTATCGGAAAAAGGTTCATTCATTCAACGCATCGCAAACTCTATGATGACCTCTGCTGTTGAAAACACTTAATGCAAATGTTTCAAATAGCCTACCAGTATATTTTGGCCCAATCTCTGATTATAAAAAGTTGAACCAATAAATCAACTAATAAATACACGGATTCCTATATGAATAAAACTATTGTTTTTCAGGTTTGAATTGTGTCCTTGCTTGTGTATTTCAATTCTCTGTACATTGGAAAGAAGTGGAACAAACACTTATCTATGTCTTTCTGCACCTTTGTGCATGTATGTTTGTGATCATACTAGCAGAAGAATTAATAGAAGATATATATATATGACTTATATGTGGGCAATATAATTTAAAATACCAGCAAGCGCTTCCTATTGCATGTGTAGTTCATGGCAGTCATAGGGACTTATGTGAATTGTTTGAATGTGGGAAGTGATTTGCAGAGGAAAGGTCAATGGGGCAGTGGTTGTGCTTTTGGACAGGTTTCTTATGACATGATATTGAGGTGCTTGTGGACACATGGGATGGGGCATGAAATTATTATTTATTTTTATTGAGAAACAATTTTCTCCACAGTATTGGGGTTGAGTCGGTTTCTACTGTTTCCCCAGCTTTAGAAAAAACGCGCTCACACGGCACGATGAGGCAAGAATGCTCATAAGATTACGTGCTAATACAAATAGATGTGGGTACACATGTTTGTGTTTGACCCAATATTTTAGCGGGTCTTCACTCCGTGGAATGTTTGGTTCAGCCAAATATCGGGTGGTCTCCACAATAAAAATAAACATCCATAATTACACAATACAAATGACAGACTTTGCCTGCCTATTGCCAACTTTGTTAGAGGAAATCAAATTGAAGTGCTCCCACATCTCGGAGCAACCTCTCTTTGCCACAGGTTCCATTGTAAATTTGCTCTTTGCTACTACTACTACAACAACACTGACAAGCCCGAACCCTGTTTCGAGCCGATTTGAATCGAAGCGGTCACATGACTGTGCGCCGGAACGAAGCTTCAGACGTCACTGATCACGTGATCAGCAGCAAACGAACCGAGCACCGATACATTTGCTTCGCCTTGCACTGGTTCATATTTCGACACAAGCTTCGAAGCAGGAGGGTCGGAGGTAACAACACTAGTTTTTAGTTGTCTAGGAATATTTTTGAATTACTGTCAAGCCTATGGAAATATCTGCTCTTTGCAAGTAAAGAAACCTTTTTTGACTCACTAAAAAACGACTTGTCCCTCTCTGTCTCTGTACTTGAGTCACCACCACTCGTAGCACAGTGGTAGGCAATCCGCCTGCTGCACGGAGACCCAGGTTCGGATCCCGACGATCCTGACACCGTTGTGCTTTATGATTTGTTGAAGTGTTTTCCTATTTGCTGATTGGGCGACAGTGGCGCATGGTGTAGAGAAGGTGCGCTGGGAAGTGCAAGGTTGGTGGTTCAAACCCCGGTTGCTCCATGTCCTGTGTCGAAATGTCCCTGAGCAAGACAGTTAACCCCTAATTGCTCCCCGGACTAAGATGTAAAAAGCCATGGGTTAAAAATGCAATGTAAGTTGCTTTGGATAAAAGCGTTAGCTAAATGACATACTACTGTAGGGATGTAGGTAAAAGTTTGGTGAAGTTAGATGAGTGATAACGAGCAGGACCGGCAAGCAGCTAACCATGGCATGGCGGCTAACACTCCCAGCGCTACGTTTAACATCCAGCCGCCGGCAGGGGCGGACTTACCATTAGGCGAAACTAGGCGGTTGCCTAGGGCCCCAAGGTCCTGAGGGGCCCCGTAAAAATCCTCATACACTTATGGTTGATAAAGTTATTACTTATTCGCGCATATTAATTATATTTATGATTAAAATTCTCTCGCTAAAATGCCAACGGAATGCGTATCGTATTATGTGTGTGTCGGGGCCCCCCTTCAGTGTCCACTACATTGGATCAGTCCATCTTTGCTGCGCATGTGCAGAACGGATCCAAGAAACGGTCAAAACGAACGGCGCGAAATGGCGAAAGACAGTAAGAGGACAGTATCACACGGATCAAGCGAAGCGACCCCGAAAAGAGGAGGAAGAAGGAAGAAAAACAAACGTCAAAGTTGCAGAAAGTGACAAGTTTCTTCACCGCTCCTGCGGCAGCGGCCAGCAGCAGCAACCCACAACCTGCTCAACCGACACGGACACCTGAGGAGGATGAACCAAAATCTTCTCATTTCAGAGGGCCCCATGCCTGCCTTTGCCTTGGGCCCCAAATTTCTTAAATCCGCCACTGGACGCTGGAGCCCTTTTCCTAGCCGAACGACTGGAGGAAATGGATTCGGAGATTTGAGAGATTCCATCAGGCAAGTAACCAGAGGTTACAAGCTCCGAAGTCAACCAGGTGAATACCTTAATATACTGCATGGGAGATGACGCAGATGAGGTCTTGAGAGGCTTAGTACTAAGTGAACCAGCATGTACACACAGCCGTGGGTGACGGATTTGAGTCTTTCTTCATTGTTAGAAAGAATATCGTACACGTGTAACCTGGAAAAAGCCATTAACATGGAGAGGAGATAAAAAAGCAACAAAACACTGAGGAGTGATGCCAGTAGTGTAGTGCAGATGGACACTGTGGACAGTGTTTGAAGGCAGAAAGCAAAGAGAGAAGGCCAAGTTCAACAAATACAAAAGTGATTGAGCAAAGCCACACTTCACCAGCCAGAAAACGCAGGCGAAAACGCAGACGGTATTGAAACAGATGAGGAGGAGTTTCTTCCTGGGTTCTGTGACGTCCGACAAAGCTGCATAGGGATAATGGACACCACAATCAGTTTCAAACTCGACACCTGATATGAACAGCATATTTTCTTTTCCACAGCAGCCTGTTCTCCAGAAAGCAGAGAAAGTCAAGGAAGAGCTCTAGCGAATGGACGAGCCAACAGACTGGTGTGCCGGTTCGGCGGTCGTACCAAAGAAAAACAGTCCACGCCTGAGACTGTGTGTGCACTATACTGGCTTGAATGAGTTGAGTGAAAAGTACATTCTGCCGTCTGTAGATCAGTCCCTCGGAATGCTTGCCGGAGCAAAAGTGTTCAGTAAATTGGATGCTTGCATAGGGTTCTGGCATATTCCCTTAGCCGAAGAGTCAGTCATGTACACCACATTCATAACACCCATCGGGCGGTTCCACTTTAACCGCCTTCCCTTCGGCATCAACTCAGCACCCGAATGCTTTTCAGTGCATAATGGCCGACGTCATAGAGGGGTTGGAGGGTGTGGTCTGCCACATGAATGACTTACTAGTGTTGGGGGCGGGACCAAGACCAGCACGACACTTGAATCCATGTTGTGCTGCAAAGAGTGTAGAAAGCAGGCATCTGCGGAAATTCATTCCTTGGCTGACTGAAAAAGACAAAGCACTCCGGGACCTCCTCTCAAAAATGAACTGCTGAGTGTGGGACACGGACCAGGTAATGGCGCTTAAGGAGCTGAAGGAGGCACGTGCTTCTCCAGTGCTGGCCATGCATGAGCCAAACAGACACTAAAGTATCTGCCGAGGCATCTTCGTATGGCTTGGGAGGCTTTATTCTCCAGAAGGTGGATGGTGAATGGTGTCCTGTGGTTTATGTATCGCGATCAGTCTCTCCAACTGAACAACGCTATGCACAAGTTGCAAAGGAGGCTCTGGGCCTCACATGGGCTTGTGAACGGTTCCGGGATTTCCTCCTGGGAAAGCATTTCATCCTGGTGATCGACCATGAACCTCTTCTCAGCCTACTTGGAGCCCAAGCACTCGATCTTCTGCCGCCAAGAATTCAGCGCTATACAATCACACTGTATGTGCCAGAGAAGTCACTCTGGACAGCAGACACACTGTCACGCTCGCCTGTGAAAGGGAGCATGTCCTCAGATGAAAACAAACTGATGGAGAGCACAAAACAAACTGATGGAGAGCACAAACATATATGTGGACTGTATCATTGAAAATCTGCCTGCCAGTCCCTCATACATACAGAAAATCTGCAAGAGCAGCTCAAAACTGACAGTGTCTGCTCACGGGTCATGATGCTGTGCAGAGAAGGATGGCACCAGCAGCTTGAGGGTCCCGCAAAGTAACTGCGAAGATGAATGGGCGGTCGAGGCAGTGAAAAACCTTCTGAAGAAGGCAGATGACCCCTACCTGGCTCTACTCGCTTATAGAGACACTCCTTTTCAGAATGGGTACAGCCCGGGTCAGCTTCTCATGGGCCGACGGTTACGCAGAACGGTGCCATCTGTTCCCTCTCATCTGGGGCCTCATTTATAAACGTTGCGTACGCACAAAAAAAGTCGTACGCCGCTCTCTTGACAGAAAAATGTGCGGTCCTTCACGCAAGCTCGGACCCATGCGTACGCACAAAATTGGGGGAAATGAGAACCGTCGGCAAATGCAAGAAACACGCAAACGTGTGTGTAAAACTAGACTCTTGTGTAAGTGAAATGCCAATACTGCCTCTCATGAATAACACAAACACCCGTTTGATCGATCTGCAGCGTAAAACAAACAGAAATACAAATTAACACATTTTCAAAAAGAAAAGTGAAATATGTTCTGCAATGATATTGCATCCTCAAAACACAGCTGTTGCTTGTGAGATACAATCAAATGGACGGTAATAAAATGCCATGATGCCATCACAATGCGCGCCAGTCTCTCATCAAGAGGGGACAGCTCCGGTGTTCCCTTTCCCCACCCGTGGCAGACACACTTTGGCGATGGCGCGCTAAACGTTTTTCGCATCCACTTTGATGTCAGACCTTTTTTTCTTTATTTCGGCCACGGCCCGAGGTTGTGAGGCTGCAGCGTTGCTCTGAAACCTTTTGCCAGCCACTCAAGTGCCTTTTTGGTTAGTAAGACCCTAACTGTGCCCTTCATAAAGCATTTTACTTCTCCTTTCCACCCCGCCAATGATCATTTCGACTTCACACTGGGTGAAGTTACGTTTCTTCGTTTTCCTCTCAGTGTTTGTCATGATTTCGCAATCGATGAATATTGATTTGTGGGCGTTCCACAGACTATATATGGGCAACTATGGGCGTGATATGAAGCCGCAAAAGCTGCGGAGCATTTAGAAGTGATAGTGATTTCATCCGTACGCCACTTCTCCTACGCAAGGTTTTATAAATGAGGCCCCTGGACCCTACACTGCCTGACAGCCGCACACTGGCTCAGAAGGAAAAGGAGAAGAGGATGATGTCAGATGCTGTACACTACAACAGGCGTCACCGTGCATAAATGCACAGTGTCTTGTCACCAGGAGAACCTGTATGGGTCACCGACGCTAAGACGTCTGGAACTGTCATCCAGAACCACACCCCAGAGGCTTTAATTTTGAAGTAATACATCAGAATGTCCTGATTATGTCATGCTGTCAGTCCCGCAGCTCCACCTGTGTTAGCTTTGCCTGTATTTTCCCGTCTCTGCAAGGAGCTGTGGTCTCCCCCTGTTCATTCCTGAAGGGTGTGGCTGGAACAGCGGACGGCATTCAGCCATCAGGGGACTCTCATATCATCCCGGGTCTTCCTGCCATTCAGCGCCAGATCGTTCCAACGTCAGAGTGGTAAACTACTTTTTCAGGCCATCTGGCTGCTCGCTGTGGATTAGACGCTGTCTTTGTTTCTGTTCTTTTTCTGTTTTTGCCCTAGTGCTTGAGGATTCCTACCTGCCGGCTGGCAGGCTCTCAGAGTCCGGTCTCCCCCCCCCGACTCAACCGGTACCTGTGTGCCAAATTGTGTGTGTACGATCTGAATAAACACCTTGTTTTCACGTCGGAAGAACCTTCCTTTGAGTCCTGTGTGCTGCGCTTGGGCCCACGCCCATCTACCTCACCGTAACTGTCAGGGGTGCCTGGGGAAGGCCGGACTCAAGATCCAGACTTAACCAAAAAGACTTTAATAGTCAAAAAAGGCCACAAAGCAAAAGGCCAATGGGCAAAAACACACACAGGAACTGGGGGCAAAAAGGCACACAGGAACCGAGAACATCCAGGACGATAGACAATGACGCGACAAGTGACACAAGAGACACACGGCTTAAATATACCTGGGAGGTGAAGGTGATTGGACACAGGTGGAAACAATCAGACAATTACAGGGGATGACAGGACCAGGCAGGAAGTGAAGTTACCCAGGGAGACAATAAGCAGAAAACTACAAAATAAGACAGGAAATAAAACCACACCGTGACAGTAACAGATTATCCCTGTTTAACTGATGTTGTCTGATTGTGTACTATCAACCTGAATTGAATTAATTATATGACTATTGATTGTTTCCTTTTAAATGCCATCGGAAATATACTAGAATTTGGCTCCCAAATTACATTTTGACAGGATTTAATTTTGAAATGCTACATCCGAATGTCCTGATTATCCAAAACTAATATAAATTGAACAAAAGTTGGCTCATGAATGAGATTTTAAAGGAAGTTGGCTCATGTATAACATTGTTTGAAATGCTACATAAGAATAGGTATTTCTTGATATTTTCTGGTCTGTCTGAATGAATTATTTCTATATGTATTTGAATAATTACACAATTGACATAACATTATCATTTATAGACTATATATCTAGTTCTTAGATAGATAGATAGATAGATAGGTACTTTATTGATCCCTCAAGAGGGAAATGTTGGTATCACAGCAGCATGTACAGGGAAGAAAATAGAATAAAAAGATACACATTATATACAATATAATAAGATAGAAATATTAAATTATTATATTAAATTAAATAAACTAAAACTGAAACAAAAGAATAACCTTCCAAAAGAGACAATAATAATAATTTGTAAAAGGAGAAGAGGAAGATGAAGAGCAGCAACATCACAGCAGTACAGGGTTATTATTGTCATTATTTAGCCTGGGATGATTTATTGTAAAGTGTTATTGCACTGGGCAGGAATGATCTCCTGTATCAGTCCTTGTGACAGCGGAGCTGAAGGAGTCTGTTGGAGAACGCGCTCCGCTGTCCCTGTAGCAGGTGGTGAAGGGGGTGGTCAGGATTATCCAATATGGATAACAGTTTCTTCAGTGACCTCCCCTCCAACACCTTTTCCAAGCTGTCCTGTTTGCAGCCAATGATGGAGCCGGCCTTCTTAACAAGTTTGTTAAGTCTGTTGGTGTCACTGGCTCAAATGCTGCTCCCCCAGCAGACCACGGCCAAGTACAAAGCACTGGCCACAACATCTCCAACATCTTGCTGCACACATGGAAGGATCGAAGCTTCCTCAGGAAAAAGAGTCGACTCATTCCCTTCCTGTAGACGGCGTTGATGTTGGTCTTCCAGTTCAGTCTGTTGTCGATGGAGACACCCAGGTACTTGTAGTCCTCGACCATGGCCACCTCCTCTCCCAGAACCCTCAGCGGTAGCGGAGCCGTTGTCTTCCTCCAGAAGTCGACCACCATCTCTCTGGTCTTGGCCACGTTCAGGAGCAGGTGTTACAACTAACATGCAGACTGGCTTGATCGCAGTGAAAAGAAGCGCCCTTTGGGTGGATCATCTTGTTGTTGGATACTTTCAAATGATCGGTTGACGGTCGGAAATATTCTCTACTAGAAAGTTGCACTTTGCTCCTCTTAAATAACTAGAACATGATATGTGATATTCAGGGGCAAACGCTAATAGTAACAAAATGTTTAGTGGCGACAAAATATATTTGGAAGACCAATGAGAAGATTTTTTTTTAAAAGAGTGGGATCTGAAATTGTTTTAACGAAGCGACAAATGGCTATTCCCACAGTCTGCCGTTACTCTCTGTGGTGGCAAAGTATTTCGATATTTTTACTAAATAATAGTAATGTAAAACGGCTCTGTTAAGTAAAAGCCATGCATTCAAAACGTTACTAATGTACATAAATAATATCTGCTAAATATACCTAAAATATCAAAATGAAAAGCCCTCATTAAGGAAATATATTTATGTCCGCTCTTCCAATCTTCAGGTCTAGCTGAGCATAGCCTAGGTAGGGAATAGAGCGTTCATTACAGTTTTTTCCAATTGCTAACACTAAAATGACACACACAGCACAATTATTTAAACTGACACTGAGCAAAACCTCAATTCTCCAAAAGTTTAAACACATTTTCTGCTTTACACACATTTTGCAATTGGCAATTTTAAATGCACTGATCACGGTTATCTGCATAAGACACAACAATCTGACATAAAGTCACATGTTTGCCTTTTCAAAAACACTGCCATTCAAAATTACACTACAGTAGATCATGTCACCAACCATGGGCTGACAATGTGAGAGGCTGGACAGAGAGTGCAGCCAAACTTGAGCCGTTGAACTGTCGCCTCTGTCATCCGGACATTTAGACTGGAGAACAGGTATGTAACCAAAATTTCATTTGGTACACATGTAGTACACCCGATGTCATAGTGTATCAGTTGGGTGACACCTGATATGTTTGTGTTTTTTGTGCTTCTATAAGGACTGAGAGACAAAACCATGATGGAGGAAGGGGTTTAATGGAAGCTGGCATTGTAAACTTGGTTTTGGAAAATAATGAAATCAGATCATGAGAAATTCAAAGCCACATCATCCAAGACAACACCATATTCAACAACATTCAATGAGTCAGTCTGTCCACATTGGCTCACATTCTCAAGCGAAACCAGATCAGAATGAAAGAACTTTATAAGGTGCCGTTTGAGAGAAACTTTCAAAGAAACAAAGAGGTCAGATGGGCATATGTGGATGTAAGTACAATATTGACTGCAGTACAGTACACTACACGCAACACTTTCCCAGCGTACTGGATAAAACACAATATTGACTGATTTTTGCCCTTTGTTTTCAGGCAGTACTGGAAATGGATGCTCATGCAATCCCCCATCCTCTTTATAGATGAGGCTGGGTTCAACCTAGCAAAGATCAGAAGAAGGGGGAACGTCATTGACCACAGAGCCATTATAGATGTTACTGACCAACGTGGAGGAAACATCACAATGTGCGCTGCCATCTCCAGTATGCATGGTGTCCTCCTCTGTCATGCCAACCTTGGACCATACACCACAGCCCATATTCTCACATTTCTGGACAGACTTCACAACCTTTTCATACCACCAGAGCGTATGAATGATGTAAACCATCAAATAAACCGGTACGTTGTAGTATGGGACAACGTGAGCTTTCATCGTGCAGCCCCAGTCCAAAACTGGTTTGCTGACCACCCAACATTTCTCGTGCAATACCTCACACCATACTCGCCATTTCTGAACCCCATCTACGCACCCGACGTACCTGCACTTGCCTCCCGAATCTCCTGCCTCGTCATGTCCTGACGGTTCGTGCTTAACTGTGTTGTCCCAGTCCTAACCTTTGCTTTACCCAGCCTCCTTTTTGACGTGGTTGGCCTGCTGTCTGGTGCGCTCTTCCCTGGCTTGGAACTCGTTCCCTGCACTCACCGGGATTCCCCGTTGCCGGCCAAGCGCCCGCATCTCTTCTGTTAAGCCTTAAGAGCCTTTTGTTTGTGAGACCACCTGGTGGCTACCTTAGTTCCATTTTTTGCCTTGGCCATTCTGAGTTATTAAAACGGACTTGACCTTCCCCTTGTGTTTGGGTCCTCTCTCCTCCACAAACACAACAAAGGGAAGATATTGCCTGTGATGTTGACGAGCCGTTGTGGCCAGACCCAAGTGTGCGGCAAGATGCTGCCTAATTATTTTTCTTGGCTCTTTTTTTTACTGTAATGTATTTTTGTTCAGTCTTCATGTAAATATATCTGCTGTGCATATGTTGCACTGACTTGTTTACTGTGGTGAAAAATAAATGTTTCAACAGCAGTGTATCTGCAAATATTTCTGTGCATGTGAACAATCTGACACATATTTTAGTGTTATGGCAAAGCATACTAAAGATGAAGGTGCTTTTCATTATGCCCAACAGTGTGTAGTTGGTTAGACAAAAATCTGATAATATGAATGAAGTGTGTGCCATTTTGTGTAAAATTTGTATTTTGATAATGCTATGTGTAGTTTCGGTTGCAGTGCTTTATTTTGAGGTATTTTGTAGTTTTGGTGTGTGGTTTAGTGAATTGTGTTAAGTATTTTGATAAAAACAGACTAGTTTGCAAAATTGTGTGTTAGCAGTTGAAAAAAACTGTAACAGTACGAACAGTCAGAAAGGAGAAGGCGTCTCTTAAGCAGATGCGGTTGTATATTAGTGAAAATACACGCGTTTGCATAGCACATTATTTTACTATCAAATGCACAACATTTGCAGACACATTTCCTCTCTTACTCATTGTAAAAGTACAAAGTGGTCAACATTCAAGTAAATACAAGCATTAAAACAGATTTAGCTAATGGAAATGAATCCCAAATTGTAAAAATATGAACTCAAAATATAAACATATATATAAACAACAATATAAACATAAGTAACGTATAAATATATATATATACATATATATATATATATATATATATATATATATATATATATATTTTAACTTTATACATGATTTATGATAATGACTGAGTGAGAATGACCTTCCACTGCCCAAAGCACATTGTGTCCACATTAACAAGGCCACACCAGGCATCGTCTGCCCCTTCTTATACTCAGGGCTGCATGTGTTGCGGTTGTAGGTTGACGTAGATGGACCAGTTCTCCATCTGGGAGTTCAACCACTTGGGGTCATCGTCCTCCATCTGCTCCTCGGCCTCCTCCTCCTCACTTGATCCATCCTCTCCATCTGAGTATCTCCTCTCTGTGTGGCGCTCGTTCCAGTGACACACCTGCTGGGCCTCCTGCGTCGTCCTGGTCGAG